AAGAGCAGTCCACTTGCCTCTACACCTGTGAAGTAGATCAAACCAGTCACTAAGTTGCCGAACAAGAACTTGACGGTTCCAGAAAGCGCTGTTTCCTTTGACCGGTTCCTCCTAATGTTTACCTACTGCTGAAAAAAAGCAAAAAGACTCTGTGCCAGCTGCCCTCGAGTACTCGCCCAGAGCTTGAGTATTCTCCCAGAGACAGAGCAGATGTCTTTTCCAAAGAGTCAGGACAATGTATTATTGCACTGATGGAACACCACTTTAGCTAACATCACTAATTGCCAGGTAGGACAGCTCCAGGCCAAACACACACATAAAGAGGCACGCTACAAACATCATGAATGAAACATGGGAAAAGAATTACTTATGCTATAAGAATTACTCACCTGAAGAAGAGCTGCATGCAATAAAGGCACCTACTACTACATAGATTAATTTACTTTAAATGATCCTACTAGATGTCACCTTAAATAGATGTACTCATCTCTTTCAACTTGGAAACACACCAACCCGTAGACTTTGACCCACCACCAGGCAGGGACTAGGAATACTAAGTAGAGGAGAAAACGAGTGTTGTGAGCCTGAAGTGTGTACAACCATAGTAAAGACAGCTCCTGAGAGGATGGGGAAACAAAGGGAAAGCTGCTTACCTCTGAGAAGTCGTCCTTGATCTTTGTGCCACGGACATTTGTCTTGAATGCTCGGCGCACGAGTTTAGGGGTCCCCGTCCGTTGAAGGTTTACCTCGGGGAAGTCCTACATGGCTCCACCCGCATTACTGATTTTTTCTGCCAGCAGGCAGTGGCAGAAAATCCCGAGAAACAGCAGACACATCTTCCCAAACCATTTTCTCAATAACGGAAGCAATGCGAACTGCGCTGAAAACCGCAAGTGAAAACAGCAGAAATACACACCCCACGCTGTCTCAGGTAGGAAATAACTGCCCTGAGCAACATGCCCTTCCCAGGGTGAACCCAATATACCCATGGCCTTAGGGGGAAGGCAGAAAAGGAACACAAGACTCTTAGTATGTCTCCTGAGAATCACAATTTCCATTTACTCCATGTCTTCTGGTCTCACAGGATGAGGCAGAGGTATAATTAATTCCTTCTCCATCTCTTTGCAAAGAGCTTTTCATCTGTGACAAAGAAGAAAAATGTTCTGATCGTGGGAGTCATTCCACAAAGCCACACGCGGTGAATTCATTATTACAGATAAGATCATTTTTAATCAAAAACACCTCAGCCACAACGTTACCATTGCAAACATAGCACTGCACAAAAATTCAACTCAGGATATAGGAAAAGGCAATCTAAGACGAATGAAGATGACCAAAAGCATCTGCAACAACCAACTGGTAGATGGTTGTCCACAGCCACCAGATTTCATGGTCGTCTTTCCTGACAAATGAATCCTGGAAGAACAGAAAAGATACACAACATGTCCACAACAACTTCTGAGGAGACTATTGAACAGAAAAAAAAAAAAAAAATAGAAACAGCAAGCGGCTACTACGTCAGTTTTGTTAACAGAGTAACATTAACATACTAGAAATTTCCACATTCTATGTAGCTCCAAGGTGGTGCTGGGTACATCCACTGATATTATTGAGATGGCACAATGTCAGAGATAGTTAACAGACAAGGTACACCTGAGGTGCACCCAGTTTGGATCAGCTTGCATATGAGTCTGCTGATACATCAGTGCTGTTATTCCAAAAGCAGACAGACTGTTATTCGTTCCTCGGTGGAGCTGTTTTAAGTTGCCCCCTTAATTAATTTTCAGAGATCACTGCATTAATAATAGAAAGGAATTTATTGAGTAAGTCTTAATTAGAATTGAGGGTGATCAAGTGGCAATTCCAAGTCATAGGGCATACCATACAGCATTTCAAAAGGAGAAATTCCTACATCAGTTCTGGGCTGTGTCCATATGTTTAACAGTGCAACAGGTAAACATTTTACCCAAGAAGCCTTAGTTTCCAGCATAAGTTTTGTTAGTTGTTTCTTAATTTCACCATTCATTTGCTCTACCTTTCTAGCACTTTGGGGATGCCATGGAGTGTGGTATTCCCAACTTGTTCCTAGAGCTTTCATAGTCTCTTGAGACACTTTGGAGACAAAATGAGGGCCTCGGTCAGAGTCAATTGTTTCTATAATTCCGTATCTAGGAATAATATTCTCAATTCCCAATTCAACCAGATTTTAGTATTTACTTAACTGATCATAAATTTCGGGATGATTAGGGTCTCAGTGGGGTTGGTCAAGGGAATGCAATTGTCCGCAGTTCCCTGAGCGGTCCCATCGGCAATCTGAGCTTGCACATGAACTCAGGTTGTTTTAAGAGTTAACTGCTTTTCTGTTTCCATAACAACTCTCTTTCTCAGACCCTTTGCCCCAGAGGACTAACACCCCTGATTTTAGGATCTCAGCCTCGGGCTGAGGCAGAGCTATTAACATTCCTACATCCTCTTTCCCTGCTCATTCAACTTTGAATACCTTTAACACTTTCAACAACCCTTTTAACACTTCCTTTATCTTTCTCTAGCCTTTACTTTTCTAATGCCAACATCAAAGGCTCAGTCAGGGGCCAACTTAATTCCGTACCTTTTCCCTCCAAGATGCTGAAACAACATCAATATACAACATTTCATCCTGTTTTCCTTCTCTCCACAAAAACAACATTGACTGTAATATGGTGTTATAATTAATAGTTCCATTTAGGGGCCACTCCTCTCCATCCTCTAGTTTATAAAGTGGCCACCACTGATTACAATATTTGATAAGAGTTCTTTTACTTTCTGTACCCTCTCACCCCACTATATCCCTCCACCGTGTTAGTATACATCCTAGGGGGCTTTTCCTCAGGATTTCTTTGCTTTGACCTTTTCCTATTGTAATCAACAGTGGTTAATATTCCACCGTTTTCCTAGGATCTCTTTACTAGTCAATCCCAATCCCTCCAAAATCCACAATATATAGATACACATGTAAAATCAGACCACTGTAAATTAACTGCCTGTAGGCAATTACACTGAGGACATTTAAACCTGATGAGCCGATAATATGCCTGGGCAAATTTTGTTCCCTTAGACATACACCTCAATGGCAGTTCTTATATTTACATATTAACATATGTATAAAAGAACACTTTAACAAAAATGTCCGGGCTTCTATATATACAATATACAATGTACAGTTATTATTCCAGTTAGAATTATTCCTCAGCAGCTGGAAACATTATGCCAGTTGCCATTAAAGCTCGCTTACCCTCCTCCTGTCTTTCTTAAAATCTCGGACGTCCCCGGAGTTAATGTGGACGGCCACATATTCCTAGTCACTGGTCCCTGAGCGCTAGAGTCAGAGTCGCTATCAGCATCTCCCTGGGGTTGTGGATTAGGAAGCCTGGGAGTCAGAGGGGCTGCAGGTGGAGTAGGTGGAATATAGGGAGGCAGTGGGGCTGGGATCTCTAATTCTCGGTTTTTCTTGTGCCTCCCATCCCCTCCTTTTTCTTTTAGAGGGTATAAATTGGCTCGAGTTTCCGAGCCGATCCACAAATGTGCATATTCACTTTCTTCCAAACTAAAAGGTTCCTTTGAGTTTACATAAATATTTAGGCCTGACAAACCCAATCTTCAAAAGACCCAAATATGGGCCAGTAAAGGTGGTCTCCTCGAATCTGCTTACTGCCCCAAACTTCAACACTATAATGTATTATTTTTACTTTATTTTTTCCCTGCCTAGAAGGGGATTCCTCATAGTTTTTAATCACTAATCCCGGGGTAACCTAACATCAGACGTTACCCCACCCATGGGACCAGAAGGCTTACTCTTCTTCTGTCCCATCTTCCGGAGCACCTTCACACATGCATGCACGAATCGCTTCCCCCTTTTCATGGCCCAGTCCCTTGCGGGATGTGGGAACCGTATTACCGAGGGGTCCACACTCGCTTCGTCCTGCTGGACATCTCACAACTATACGCTCCGGGATGCCAACCCCAACCGAATGGCACACCAGCCTATACTTACTCATCCCATGAGTCTTCGTTCATTCTTCGCGCACAAAGATTACTTGGGATTGCCGGCTTTATTTGCTTGTTGCTGAATTTAGGGTTCGTCAGTGAAGGATTTGAATTAAAGTAGTCCTAGCGAAGGCTGCTGAAATCAGCAGGGCGCCCCCTCCGAAGGTCTTTCAATCAAATTGCCTTCATCCGAGTCATGGCACCAAATTTGTTATAAGTTGCCCCCTTAATTAATTTTTCAGAGAGCATTGTATTAACCATAGAAAGGAATTTATTGAGTAAGCCAACAGCAAGCAAAACAGCACTGGGCGGCCGGGGAGTCTCGGCTCCGCCAACGGTGCGCACCTCACTCCCGCCAGGGTCCCTTTTTATATCTTGGTAATTCCGGGATTACGCAGCACATCCTGGTATATTCTGCGACTGCGCGCACTGTTGCTAGGGGGTCGTCTCTGTCCCTCTGGTGGCCGTGAAGATGAAGGCCATAGTCTTCCTTGGTGTTGTGGTTCAACTTCTATTTTTATTTGGTCATGTTGGCCCAGTGTGAGACGGGAAGGCAGGATGTTGATACACTAGTTTAGCAATTTATCAGGAGGTGGTTATATGAGCTTTGCAGCAGTGTCCTTGAACAAAAGAGGCAACTGAGATGCAGAAGGAGAGAAGGGGAGGGGGTTCTCTTTTTTGTTACATTAAGCAAAAGAATTTTCATAGTGTCTAGCCAAGTATTATACAGCTCCTTTCTTCAGCAGGGAGCTTTCGCAACTTTCGCTCCTCAAACAGAACTCCTTGTTTTTTATAATACAAAAGACAATGAACAAACATTTATGGTGTATTACAAAAAGCATTTGTGAGCAGACTGAGGTCCTGGGAAAGTCTGGGATGGGCAGAGTACAGGCCACCACAGGGACACAGATGGGGGTGTCCATTTTTACAGGGTACCCACACACCATGGGACTGCAGCACTGTGAGGCCAGGAGTGCTGACAGGCTGGGAAAGCAGCATCCTAAATCCTGGACTAAGGTCCCCGAGCTGGGTGAGGGCAAGCCACCAGCTTGGTCTCAGCAGGGTGCAAGACTGGGCCTGGTTATGGGTAAGATTATGCCAGGGAACAGTCTCTGTTGACAATCCTGCAGGACACTCCAGAAAATACAACCTCCATAAAGGCTCCTTAGACTGCACTGGGGTAAGAAGAAGGATTTATGGCAGCAGGCTATGTCTGCCATATGGCATCTACCACCAGGCTTGGAGGAAAGCTGAGGCGTGAAAGCTGTGCTGCCCTCAGGCGGCAGCACAGCGCAGCAGACCAATGCCAGGCAGGCTGTGGGTTCTCCCGAATGCCATGGCTTTCCCCCCACCTCACATCCTAGGTACCTCCATCTTCAGGTAAGGGAGGGGAGGGGAGGGGAGGGGAGGGGAGGGGAGGGGAGGGGAGGGGAGGGGGAGTTGGCTTGTCCATATGGTGACAAACATACCCCCACCTTGCCCTTTTTGCAGTGAAAAATTAAAGTACAGAGAGGTGGGGGATCTGCCTAAGTCTGGCTATGAACAGGAGGTGTTGGTGGGTAGGTGTGACCCACCAGGCAGCCCAGGAGTTGGGCCTGGCTTCACTCTGCCTCACTGCATGAGTCCACATCTTCACCCTCCTCTGGGTGTATGATCCCTGCAGCACAGCGTGCCATGATCCTCATCCAGCGCTGTTTCAGCTCCTCTGTGTCGGCCAGGAAGGTATAGACCTGCTCGGACTGTGCCAGCTGGAAGAGGTGTTGGGCCTTGCCCTGTGGCAGGTCCCTTACCTGGTAGCCCAGCAGTGGAATGGAGGTGTGGGCTCGGACATCCTGCCAAGAGAGAACACAGCAATGAAAGGCAAGCAATCTAAGCACTGGGCTGCCCCCTTGCAGATGGAGCTGAGCCCAGCCTTACCTGGGGGGCTGCATAAATGTACAGCACAAGGGGATCATCCCATGGGATAACAAACCAGCCCCTCATGCCTCCCTTGCCGTTCTTGTCCAGCAGCTGCAGGGAACTGCACAGAAGACTCCTGCCTGATATCTCTGCAGCTCCCTTCTGCCAAAAAATAAATAAATAAATAAATAAATAAAAATAAAATAAAATAAAATAAAATAAAAACAGCCAACAAATCTCTAAACACCCAGTGTTAGTGGAGGCAGAAAGGGCACTGATCAAAGGGCTGGGAATGGCAGCAGAGGTTGGAGGAGCAGGGCACAGGGAGGATGGGCAGAGAGGGGTACAACTGACCTCCAGGATGCCTTTGTGCTTCCACTCCTGGTCCTCCAGCACTACATGGCCCATCAGGAAGACATAGCATTCCTGACATACACGGTTTAGGCGGTTCCCATCATACTGCAGTTTCACCTTGTGTTCTGAGCAGCGAGCACACACCACCTACAACAATCAGGCATGGACACTGATGGGGCTAGGGTAAAACTGGGGCATCCCTATAACTCCATGAGGAGCTGAGGGACAGGAAACAGCCCTGAACCCAGGTAAAGGGGTGCAGAGTGTACAAAGGCTGCATTCCTGGCCCAACTGCTCAGGCCAGAAGGGAAGGGAAGAGTTGGGGAAGAGGGTAACTCACGTATCCACAAGCTCTACAGTGGTGTCTCCGGCGCATGATGGCATTGAAGGGCTCCTTGCAGCGCATGCACATGGTCACCAAGTTGTCCCGCACCCACTGTGGGGCTCGGCAGCCCAGCTCTTCTGTCTGAGGGTGGGAAATGGCATTGCTGGGGCTGGCTAGCTATGGTCAGGGTGGTCCTGCTCACACTTCTCTCAGCCTCCTCAGGCCCTCTGCACTTACTCGTCCCTTCCCAGTCTGCCCCCACTAGTTCTGTAGGGTTTAGCTTAGGAAATTGAGGCACAGCAAAGTGCTCAAAGTGCTCCCTGAGCTTCAGCGTATGGGGGTGCTGGAGACAGACAGGACATGGGAAGGACAGAAGGGTTACCTTGAGTGTGGGGTTTCCTGTCTCCAGCCCACGCACAACCATCTTAAAGCTCTCACTCCTCTTCTCCTTCCTGTCAATGGCATCCTGGAAAGCCTAGAAGGGAAGGCAGGGCTGGAAGGACAGATAGGGGGGATACCCAAACACTGACAGGTAGGGGATAAGCACCCCTGGGGACCCAGGCATCCAGCTGGTGTGGGATGTGCCACTTCTCACAGCATTCAGCTGTACCTTGATCCAGGCATTCATTTCCTCCCCAGACCTAAGTGCAAAAAGCGAGATGGATAAGCTGGCATCCCTCCTCCCTGAGGAGAAATGGGGCCATCACTCTTTCCCTTACCTGGCCTGCAGCTCCAGTGTCCGCTGCTTTCCCGAGACTAGGAAGGTGTGAGGGAATTGCATATCATTCAGCTCCTGCACCTGAGAGACACCGAAGAGAACATGGGAAACAGCTGAACAAACATCCAGCTCAAAGGGACCTCCATCTGTGAAGTGAGTAACAGGGAGTTCCCTCAGGCAGAAGCCCTTCAGCCCCTCAAATCCGTGCATGATATTTCAGTGCAATCTCACAGGATCAGGCTGCAACCAGTCCCCCTCACCCACAACATCAACTCTGGCTCCAAATTCTTCCTCCCTTCCCAGGAAGTACAAGGTAGCAGCCACACTACACCACAGAGAGGGCTGCATTTGGAGGAAGCCTCTGAAACTGCTCCCCAGGGCCTTGGGGAAAGCAAAAAGACAAAGGGCTTGTCTGACCTTCATGCCATCCATGTCAATGCGGAGGCGGACCTGGAACTCAGCGCCCACCTGAATGACCTTAGGCACGCAGTACAGCAGCATGTTGTTGAACTGTGCAGGAGAAGAAGAGTGTGGGTCTGTGCCCAGCAACCTATCTGCTCAGGGCTGAGGGGTTCACTAGGATCAAGGGCCCCTCAGACCCTAGGAGCTGAGCCGATCCCTGGGAAAGATTTGGACTAAAAGGTGCCTACTTCTGCCCCAGCCCTCTCCCACCCTACAAAGGGAAACCACTACAGGATTCTGGCCTCCCCCAGGGAATCAGAGGTTCCCAAACACATGGAGCCCTGAACCAGGGTGTTCAAACCCCGCAGATCTGAAATAATCCTTTCTATACAGAGATGAGCCACCACCACCCCTGTCCAAGCTGTCTGCCCCTCTTGCCATCCCTATCCCACCTGCTCCCTGCCCCTTCCCCCTGGCATCTTGGCTCCCACCAGAAACAGGTACTTCTCCGATGTGCTGTTGTTGCGGGTTGAGATTTTTTGGACTGGCCCCTCCTTGATCAGCTCATTGGAGGGATCCACAATGTCATCCTCAAGGCCCAGTCTCTGGTAGACCTCCCAGAGGTTCTGCAGCCGCTCCTGGGGGAGGCAGGGGAACCTGTCTGGGAGGGAGCTGAACAGCCAACACCTTGTCATACCTGGATCCCCTCCAGCCCCAGCCCAGCTACTGAGTACCGGGGGAGATGGCACATGTCACTCACCCCAGACTGACCTTCACGAGCAGCTTCCAGCCTGGAAACAGCCAGTCACAACACGGCTGATGCTACAGACATTATTTCCCCAGGTTCGGGGAGATGGGGGTCAGACATCAAAAGCAAAGTCTAACCTCCCCGGCTGAACCCTGCCCCATTCTGGGCAGGGTTTTGCTCTATTCTGAGTTGCACAGCAAAGAGGCCATGAGAAAATCTGGCAGAGTGCCAGCAAATCACCATGCCATGATTTGCAAAGCATTGCCAGCTGTGACAGGCACTCACCATCTCAGCAATAGCTGTATTTGAATGCTTGGCCACCATGAAAATCAACTCCAGAGCCTCTGCAAGGAAAAGAGAAAAGTTAAGCTCCTGCTGTGGAGAGGTAGGAGAAAACTCCTGCATCTGTCCTCACCAGCAACTGCACGTGCAGTGGCTGCTGTCCTACCCTGGATACCATCTGAATGGCCCTGAGCACCACACAGGTGCCTGGGTCCTGCTAGGCTGTGCAGCACAGGTAGTCGTGGGGAAACACAGGGTGCTAATTTATCCTTCATCCCAGCTGGACTGGGAACTGCTGTTATCCACATGGTTGTGATACCTCCCCTGGTCGTGGCAGATCTCCCTGCAGGGAAATGCTCTGCAGCAGCGCACCTTATCCTGAACCATCACCCACCTTTCCCAACAACTTTCACAAACCCTAAAGGGGTCAGAAAAGTGTCATACTCAGAGGTTTATCCAAGAGCAGCTGTTGAGAGGACCCAGGTAGCCTGATGCCCATGTACAATGTCAGGAGCTGTCAATTCCCCCACCAACCCACCCCACTGCTGGCTACAGCAAGGAGCTCTTACTCTCTGCATCATTCCGATCTGGGGACTCAGGCGGCAGTTTTTGGATATAGTCTTTTAAGAGGAGTTCATAGCGTGGGATCCTCTGCACTGGTTCCAGCATATGGTGCTGCAGTGTTAGGTTAGCACAGACCTTCCTCTTCTGACCCATGCACAGAGAAAGAAACAGTAAACACAGTAGTTCCTACTCTCCTCTGCTTCCTCCCTAGAGGGAGATTTTGGGAAGCATTCCTGTGGTCCCCCCACACTGCCATGGCCTATCACCTGGATGTCAGCAATGAGCTCCTGGAAGGGCAGTGATTTCTCTGTCCAAACGGTGATGAGCTCCACAGCCTTGTTGAAGTTCTTCACATATTCACCGTACATTTTCAGGAATGGTGCAAGCTTCTGGATCATGTCCCCGATCCTTGGGTGGGAGCTCCTGCAGCAGGGAACCACAGCTTCCTCAGACCGTAGGGAAGATGGACAGCAAGAGATAAAAAAAGGGGGGCAGTTTATGCATGACAGAGGTTTATGGCTACATCCTCATACAACTCCCCACTCTCTAGAACAGGTACATGGCCAGCCAGCCTTGGCATTCATTCCTGGGAACACCCCTAAGCCACATGAGATGTCACTCCGCTTTTCAGAAATAGCTTAATCTGGGCTGGACTGTTTTAAGGAAGTGCTGTCCAGCACAAAGATGTCTGGAGCAAAACAGGCTTGAACTCTCTAGTCCTATTGGGAGGCCAAATTCGCCACTGCTCCTTTATTCTGGGAAATTAACCCAAGCATCCTGGACCCTCCCCTCCCACAGCTCACCAATTCTCCATGCGCTTCTGCAGCTCTGGCAGGAAGAACTTGGCATGGAACTGGTAGATGGAAGAAATGTTGGAGAAGATCATTTTTACCACCTCCTCTGGGACTGTTTTCCCATTTTTGGCTTCTTTCATCAGCTCTGTATAGAACACCTGAAAGAAAGGTAGGAGAAGATCACATTTGAGATCATCCAAGGAACCTGAATGTGCACAAGCCCAAGGGACCTGACAAAATGCATCCACAGGGCCTGATGGGATTGGTGGATGAAGTTTCTAAGCCACTACCCCTCGTATTTGAGAAGCTGTGGCAGTCTGGTGAAGCTGTGGCATTCTGGTGAAGTTCTCAGTGAATGGAAAAGGACAAACTTAAACCCCATCTTTAAAAAGGGAAAAAATGAAGACCCAGGGAACAGACCTGGCAGACCAGTCAGTCTCACCTCTGTGCTTGGCAAGACCATGGAGCAGACCCTCCTGGAAGCTATGCTAAGGCACACAGAGATCAGAGAGGCGATTTGTCACAGCCAACATGGCTTCACTAAAGGCAGATAGTGCCAGACAAATTTAGTGGCTTTCTACAACAGAGTTAAAGCATTGGTGGATAAGGGAAGAGCAACTGATATCATCTACCTGGACACATGCAAAGCACTTGACATGGCACTGCACAACATTCTTTTCTCTAAATTGGAGAGACATGGATTTGATGGATGGACCACTCGGTGGGTAAGGAATTGATTGGATGGTTGCACTTAGAGTTGCAGACAACAGCTCAATGTCCAGGTGGAGACCAGTGAGGAGCAGAGTCCCACAGGGGGGTCGGTATTGAGACCAGCACTGTTTAACATCTTTGTCAGTGACATGGACAATGGGATTGAGTGCACCCTCAGCAAGTTTGCTGAGGAGACTAAGCTGCATGGTGTGGTCAACACACTGGAGGGAAGGGATGCCATCCAGAGAGACCTGGACAAGACTGAGAGGTGGGCCTGGGAAAACCTCAAGAGGTTCAACAAGGCCAAGTGCAAGGGCCTGCACCTGGGTCAGGGCAATCACAAACATAAATACAGGATGGGTGATGAAGTGAAAAGACAGCAGCCCTGTGGAAAAGGCCTTGAGGGTACTGGTGGATGAAAAACTGAACATGAGCCAGAAATGTGCGCTTGCAGCCCAAAAAGCCAATCGTATCTTGAGCTGCATGACAAGTATGGCCAGCAGGTCAAGGGAGGTGTTTCTCCCACCCTGCTCTGCTCTCCATGAGACCCTATCATCTGCAGTGGTGCATTCAGCTCTAGAGCCCCTAGCAGAAGAAAGACATGGACCTGTTAGAGTTGGACCTGTCCGGAGGAGTCTTGTAACGATGATCAGAAGCTGGAGCACTTCTGCTATGAGGATAGACTGAGAGAGTTGGCATTGAGTTCAGCCTAGAGAAGAAAAGGATCCAGGGAGGCCTTATAGTACTTAAAGAGGACCTACAAGAAAGCTGGAGAGAGACTCTATCAGGGAGCACAGGAATAGGACAAGCAGTAATGGATTTAAGGTAAAAGAGGGTAGATTTAGATTAGACATTAGGAAGAAATTCTTTACTATGAGGGTGGTGAGGCACTGGCACAGGCTACCCAGAGAAACTGTGTATGCCCCATCCCTGGTAGTGTTCAAGGCCAGGTTGGATGAGGCTTTGAGCAACCTGGTCTAATGGAAGGTGTTCATGCCCGCAGCAGGTGAGTTGGAATTTAGTGGTCTTTGAAGTCCCTTCTAACTCAAACAATTCTGTGATTCTATGACTCTATGATTTTGTGATTCTCTGGCTGTGATGACCAGCAACCCAGCAAGGCTCACATCTGCACAGATTCATTCTCTCCATAACCTCCAGGAAACAGTTCCTGGCCTGTGCGCACACTGAACTGAGCCCAGGCACTGCCACAGTATCCCAGCCCTGTCAAGGAGAACAAGACAACTGCTAAGTGTGTGCCTGGTTTGTCAGCGTGGGCTGCCCAGGCTGTGCTAGTCGGGGCTGGTTGCAGCAGGGCTATCACTTCCCAGGCTTTCATGCACTTTTCTGCTCCCCAGCTCACCTGGTCAAGAAGGTGGAGGCGGTTGACGTAAGCCTGCTCTGTCTCCAGCAGCTCCAGAGCGATTTTCTTTTCCTCTGGCTCCTGCATGAGGAGAAGGGCTCAGTCTCATGGGCAGTGATGTGAGCTGTCCCTAACAGCCTGAGGGGATCCAGCTCTGTTCCGCAGGGTTCAAAGCCCACAGTGCAGCTGGAAGTGGACCTTACTCTGGGTCAGGGCAAAGGAAGGGCTTCAACAAAGCATCCAGCAAAACTGAGTGTGAAAACAAAACTGTGTGAAAACAAAGCAGGCTGTGGGGAAGCTTGGCTCACATTCTTATAGGTCACTCCTTTCTCCATGTCCGTTTCTCCTAGGGCAATACAGGCCTAGTGATCTCATACAGTAGGGCAGCATGGGGTAGGTTAACCCCATGGTCTGCAGTTCCACCAAGGCTTCTGAATGAGACCTGCAGAAATGCATCTGCAATTGGCATGGGTGACGCTGTGGGACCAACCATGCTATAGTTATATCAGAGCTAGAAGACACAAGCTTTACCTGGATCTATCTGACTACAGGGAATTTGTGCCCAAAGCACCAGGAATAGGGCCACTTCTCTGTCACCCCCTGCACCAGACCTTGAACAGGCAGTGACTTGCTCAGCAGAGACCTCAGCTCTGATCCAGCACACACAACTGGGTGTGAGCACCCATCAGCCTACCAGGAACCACCTCCAGAGCTCACCTTGCTGCCAGCTTCGAGGCCTGGATCCTGTTGCCTCCTCCAGTTGTCCCCGCTGATCTTGTGTCGGAAAGAACGAAGGCATTTGAAGCTAAGCCCCTTCTGACCTTGCTGCTCTTTCTGCCCTGCTGCTGAGGCCTTCCTCTTCTGCCGTTCCTCCTCCTCCTCACTCTCTTGCTCTGCTTGGTGCCTGGCAGCCATCTGGGAGAAGTTCTGGCCCTGGCTGGCTGAGAATGTTGGAAGCTGTTGGGGCTGGCTTGTCACAGGATAAGCCTGGCCATGCAGAGAGTGTTAGTCCTTCCAGGGGAATTTGCCAACCCTGCAAGGGGGGGGAACCAGCACGATCAGATGCCCCAGCACAGTGCAGGCCTCCCGGCTGCCAGCCCATAGGCTGGCTTTCCCACAGCGCTGTCCTGAGCTGGCCTAGGCTACCATCCTCAAGCAAGATGGTAGGAAATGGCAGCACTTCAGTGCTGATGCTACCCTGCTCTGCCACAACCCTGCTGATACAAACCAGTGTCTGAAAGCCTATACATAGTCTGAGGGTGACATGATCCAGTCTCTCCTCTCCTGGTTCCTCCTGCTGGTGTGGTTAATCCCCATCCTGCTCTACAAGAGCACAGCTCAGCCATTTATCCTATTCACAGGCAGCCTGAGCCATCTTAGCCTTCCAGACTTGTACAAGCCACATATCTCCTTGGCACAGCCCATCACTTCCTCTCAGGCATCACTAGGTGGGAGCAATCTGAAATCTGAAGCTTTGCTGGGTTTTCTGCCCTGTCCCAGGCTCTTCTCCTCGCCACTCCTGATGTCTCCATGCAATAACACACAAACATGCCACCACATTTTGCTGAATGCAGCCAAAATTCTGGGCTGCAACAGATCACCTGGAGGTTTTCCCCTCCCACTTCAGTGTTTCTTCCCAGATATATGTCTCTGCCAACTTGTTCCCCATGCCTCCATAGGCTTGACTTGGCATAGTGCTCTTCAAGCCACTTCCAGTCTGGATCTCTAGTTTAAAACTAATTTTACTAATTGTGCTAGGGCCTGACTTGGGAAACCTGACAGCCTCTGAATACCTCTCACCAACTCAACAACTTTCAAGGCAATGCCAGTCCTTGATCATCCCAGACCTTATCCTTTCAACCTTCCTCCCCAGGGTCAGGACAAATCCCACATGAATACCACTTCCATCTCTGGGCTCACACCATCACTTAGGATACATGTCAGACAAAGCTTGTCTGTACTGTTTATCCATGGAGGGGCATCATCCCTGTTCCCAGCAGGATCCTCTTCCACTTCAAGTCCACACCATTTAGCTTTGGTGTCAGCAAATGGTGCATCTGGATCTTTGCTTGCTCCCAGCTGTTAAATGCCCAAAGTGCAGACCTGTCCTTTGCAGCACTGGAACAGCTCTGGCTTTCTGTCTACTGCTGCTGTAGAGCCAAAGCAGAGAACCAACTGTCCTGGGCACAAGACTTTAAAAGCCAAATAGCCAAGAGGTCTCAGCCCTGAGGAAGGTCTGTGTTTTTGCAGAAGGGTGATCTTTTAGTGGCTTTCTCTCTTCTCTTTTCTGGCAAAGACAAATACAGAGCAGCACCTTGAAGGTGACGGCAGTGAGCTGTCTGTCACCAAAGAGCTGGTTGTTTAGTAAATTCCTCCAGGCAGAAACTAGTAAGACATCCAGTGGTGGCCTGCAGACAGGAATGGAGTGAGGAGGAGGAGGAGAAAAGCAGGATGAAACTGGACATAAAATCATGAAGCTGCAGACAGGAAGTGACTCAATAGCAGACACTCATCTGAAGAGGAGGACAGATCTATCCCCACATGGACCAGCATGTGTCTGTGAGCTCGTGAGTGCATCCACAGACACACACACCTGTCCTTGGAGGCAGTCATAGCCCTTTATGTGATAGAGATGATTTATCCATCTCTCCCAGTGCCTTCCAGACCTGTGTAAGCCTAAATCCACTGCTGAGATCCAACAGGGAACTTCTCTGTTTCTATTTGCAGTATGACTTGTGCTGACTTAGGCTACGCTGTTTTCTGTTCCAGAAAACTTGTTTCCAGGTTCTACAGCTTCCTCTAAAAGCGATAAAAGTTACTTTTATTTCCCCTAACTCAAACATATGCAAACAACAAACACACTGCAGCAGCAAAATGGGGATAGATCAAAGACCACAAATGGTTCCAACACAATATCACAAGACAAATTGTGACTGTAGGACCATGGGAACAACCATACTACTCAGAAGCCCTCCAGAGCACAAAGGTCAAGCAGAGCACACAATGTAGGCAAAGCACCTGGAGCAGAAGGAAATCTTATGTCTCACCATTTTTAGGAAGGGCTGCAAAACCAAGGCTCACTGAGAGCACCTCACAGATACAAGAAAAGGCAAGATTCGGTATCCCTATTTAGCAGATAGGAAAACCTAGGCATTGACCACAAACACAACCTACCCCAAGCCTCAGAACCACCTCACTGGAGCAAGGCATATCACCAGCCCTGATTCTGGCCTATGCTGTTTGTCATCCCATGCGATCTGCAGGTCCCAGCTCATGCTTCAAATGAAGATGCTGTTTTATGGAGCAGCCACACAGCCTGAAAGGCATTGACTCCCCTCCACACACACACTCCCTTGCAAGATGCTTTCTGTTCCCCTTCCTAGGGGTCATACTGCTGCAAACAACTGGATGTCTGAAGCTGGTGTCTGAGGCTCAGGCCCTCCAAGACACTCAAGTAGCGGATTTCCAAGGACTGTGAAGCGCCCAGCAGTCTACCTGCTGGCCCAGAGCTCGTGGGGCTGCTCTGAAGAGTTGCAGAGGAAGCTGGAGGTGTACTGGTGGAGCTATGGCAGGAAGCGTGCACACCTACCGCCCCAGGCTGTGCTTGCCTTTGGGTGAGAACTGTCTGCATGTTTGCAAACCAAAATCTTCTTCTCCAGAGGCAGCAGAAAAACAACATTCAGCAGGCAGGCTAACTGCAAAGGTACTGAGCCTAAACCTGATTCTGGCACAGAAACCTCCAGCAAAGTCAGTCACCTCCTAGCTAAGGTTTTCAGACTTTGCTCCATGACCTGCAGCATGAGGAAGGCTACAGGGCAAATCTGAGTGCTAAAGAAAAACAAATTCCCCAATTGCCTTTCCCCACAGCCTCCAAACAACCTCCACCACGGGTCTTCTTTCCAAAACCCACACCACGTGGAGCCCTAACGTACCTGTAGTGCCCCTGACGTTTCCTTCTTACACACAGTCTTCAAACAGCCACAAGGTTCAGCATGTTCCACTGCCTGCCTCCCTTTCCATGGCACAGGCTGCGTCAGCTGGGAGCAGATCCCAGTTGTAAGGATGGAGCTGCAGGGGCAGGTGACTGTGTCTCCTGGCCACGGCCCTGAGCCTTTCCCTCCCTTACTCCACTTTGAGGTGTCCCTGGGACCCACAGCACAGACCAGCTGCTGTCCCTTCTGCAGCAGATGAGCTTTTATCTGGCACGGCCTCAAAAAGGAAAGAGGAAGCGCACCAGGCTGCAAGGAGAAGCTCTCAAAAACACTGGGAATTTGTTCAGCCTGTCCCCAACCCGGCTGCGGCAGCAAAGGCAGGGCAGCAGCAGAGTGGCTGTGTTATAAATGAAGTCTCAACTCAATCTGAATTTAGTAATATTTATAAAAGGTATAAAAGGCAAGTAAACGGCACTGGGTGTGCGGGGAGTCTACGCTCCACCAACATGCACACAAGAACATCAAGCATTCTAAATATACAGAACATTGCTTTTACATACTAAACCCAAGTATGCCTATACATACGTACAATCAGAAAAGGTAACAAACAATCCTTTAAGTTCCATGGCTTAACAGTCTCCATTTTCCATTCCTTTTCTTGATTACAAACAAGTCTCCATTTTCCATTCCTTTTGAACAATATGTCTTGCTTTAAGTTGTCAAGCAACTCGGTCTTCAGGCCTTCTGTATCCCGCTCTTCCGGGATCAAAGAAAAGCAGATCCATCTCCTTTTCAAGGCCAATAGGGCCTGGGTCAAAAGGCACATCCAGGTCAGCAGGGGGCATAACAGCAAAGGCCTGCGATGGCTGTAGCGGCAGAGGGGCCCATGGCGTAGCAGTCGGATCAGTAAAGGAGCCCGCAGCTCGCTCCCTGTCTGGCAAACCACACGTTTCTGACTGTGGTCCCACAGGGCTCTTTAAGGCCTCAGAGACAGCTCACCAGGTGCCGAGCAATCCCACTACAACCTTGTTGTTTTTAGTTGCAGAGTCCCACAACTTGACATCAATTTGGTCCCATATTTCAGGATCATAAACTGTCTGATTGTTAATAAGGATGTGGGAATATAAATGTTGTTTTTGCAGAGTTACATTCTTTAGAAGGAGGGAATGTGGTACTGAGATATGCTTACAGTGATAAGAAAGCAGGCAACCTTGTAAAATGCAGACAACAAGACTCCTTAGGACAATTAGGTGAAAATCACGGTGTCAAGTCAAGTCAGATAAGTGAAGAAACATTACCACTTCAAGCAGTAAAAATGTCAAAAGAAATTTAATATTTAACAGGCCGGCAACTGAAGGCCATGCATTGTTTGTGAAGCATCAGATAAGATTGTGAACCTGGATTACCCACTCAGTGGGGAAACAGGGGAGGGTCCTGCCATCAAAAGCTATCTAAACTGTGTTTTGGAACTGATTAAGGAGGTATTGGGGAGGCATTGGGGAGGCAAGGACAATCCCCAGACATGGACTGTGTATCTCGAAACAAGACACTGGAACTCATGATAAGGAAGCGGCAGACGGACAGAGAAACAAATGTAAGGACTATAAATCTCAAAATTGGACATTGGAATTCATTATAAAGATACAACAAACGGAAGAATTGGCAACAACCAGCTCTCGCAATTAAGAAACGTGCCAATTGTAATACACAATAAATGTTTGTTCATTGTCTTTTGTAAAAACAAGGAGTTCTGTTCGAGGAGCGGGAGTTGTGAAAACTCCCTGCTGAAGTAAGGAGCTGTATAATGCTTAGCTAGACACTATGAAAATTCCTTTGCTTAATGTAACAAAAAAAAAGAACCCTCTCCCCTTCTCTCCTTCTGCATCTCAGTAGCCTCTTTTGTTCAAAAAACACTGCTGCAAAGTTCATGTAACCATCTCCTGATAAGTTGTTAAACTAGTGTATCAACATCTTGCCTTCCTGTCTCACGCTGGGCCAACATGACCAAATAAAGAAAGAAGTTGAACCACAACGCCGAGGAAGACTACGGCCTTCATCTTCACGACCACCAGAGGGACAGAGACGACCCCCTAGCAACAGTGCGCGCAGTCGCAGAACATACCCGGACGTGCTGCGTAATCCTGAAATCACCAAGATATAAAAAGGGACCCTGGGGGGGGTGAGGTGCGCGCCGTTGGCGGAGCCGAGACTCCCCGGCCGCCCAGCGCTGTTTTGCTTGCTGTTGCTTACTCAATAAATTCCTTTCTATTATTAATGCAATGCTCTCTGAAAATTAATTAAGGGGGCAACTTATAACACCAATTCAGCAGATTCCTGACCAAAGGTGAAAAGTACACTGTGAGGAAGACTCGGGGTCTTCCTCCCAAAGACCCCTGCCCACGTCCCAAAGACCCCTGCCCACAATTCTTGGGAGGCTCTACGCAGGCGCAAGGTGCCAAAAGGCTAATTAGCGAGGGAAGGCGGGGATAGGTAATGCATATGTATAGGCGCTTGTAGAATATTGATAGATTGATTGTATAAATTCAAGACTGCTTTCCGCTTTGGGTATGCACGATAGGTGGAGAGATCCCCCGTGCATCCAGCGCTGCAATAAAGAATATACCACTTAAAGGAATTTCGGCTTCGATCTTTGAATCAGAACTAGTAGATGTGCTCTCTCCTGCTTGTGGGGCGCCCGCCATTGCAATCGCGAATAAATTACTACTTCAGTGAGATCCTCGCCTGAGCCTAAGTTATTGGCTACGGAGTGTTTCTCACAGTGGAGAATGTTATAAGTTGCCCCCTTAATTAATTTTCAGAGAGCATTGCATTAATAATAGAAAGGAATTTATTGAGTAAGCAACAGCAAGCAAAACAGCGCTGGGCGGCCGGGGAGTCTCGGCTCCGCCAACGGCGCGCACCTCACCCCCCCCAGGGTCCCTTTTTATATCTTGGTGATTTCAGGATTACGCAGCACGTCCGGGTATGTTCTGCGACTGCGCGCACTGTTGCTAGGGGGTCGTCTCTGTCCCTCTGGTGGTCGTGAAGATGAAGGCCGTAGTCTTCCTCGGCATTGTGGTTCAACTTCTTTCTTTATTTGGTCATGTTGGCCCAGCGTGAGACAGGAAGGCAGGATGTTGATACACTAGTTTAACAACTTATCAGGAGATGGTTACATGAACTTTGCAGCAGTGTTTTTTGAACAAAAGAGGCTACTGAGATGCAGAAGGAGAGAAGGGGAGAGGGTTCTTTTTTTTTGTTACATTAAGCAAAGGAATTTTCATAGTGTCTAGCTAAGCATTATACAGCTCCTTACTTCAGCAGGGAGTTTTCACAACTCCCGCTCCTCAAACAGAACTCCTTGTTTTTACAAAAGACAATGAACAAACATTTATTGTGTATTACAATCCCTCCTTTTTCTTTTAGTTACTCATTTTGTTCATTGAATTTCGGCAATGCCTGGCTACTAAGAACTAGTGTTTCCTCCATTCCTTCATTGGTACTTATTGGCTCGTATCTGGCATGTATGAGCATTAAATGTGCCGCTTCTAAATGTCCCTTTACAATCGCAATCAATTTATTAAAAATACATGGTTCAAAAGTTAGTGCTATTATTAAGAACAACAAAGGTCCTGTTATTGTTGATAATAAAGTAGTAAGCCAAGGTGAATAATTAAACCAAGATTCGTACCAGCTCTGTCGGGCTTCATTCTCCCGTTTCCTTTTTGTTTTTTTTTTTTTTCAACCCTTCCCTGGGTCTTGCCATTGTATCTCTTACCTCTCCAGTGTGATCAGCATACACACAGCATTCCTCTTTCGGGGCTGCACACAGCCCGTCCTGTTGTAAAAAAATACCAAATCTAATCCCCTATGATTTTGTAACACTACCTCTGAAAGCAACCTGATAGATTTTCCAGGGCCGAAATGGATTGTTCAATTTGGGTCAGGTCCTCGTCCACAGCAATGCATAAGGAAGTAAATTCTTGATTTTGTTTAACCAATGAGGCTACCCTGGTTCCCACTCCAGCTCCTCCCAGGATTATTAGGGTGGCCAAAGTTAGAGCCATGAATGGTTCCCGTCTTTCCAGATGATGACTTTCCACTGTGTCTGGGTGTACATATAATCCTCAGGGTGGTATAGAATCCTTGGTATAATTATCACCTGTATACAGAAATCACGAGACGCATTAAAGAGTTTTAGTGATAGACAAGGAGTTATGCCCACTCACAAACAAACCCACCTAGCGTTGTTGGCTGGGATTAACCACTCGGCTGATTGTTTTCCATTCTCCATGATATTACGTAGGTGACACTTCCCACTAGGAACCAGTGCACACACACCTACCACCTCCAGTGACTTGCGTTAGTGTTACCCTTATGTCTTTTCCCCAGCTGCATTGTAGAGGGTTGTTCTCGTTTGTGCGGGTGGGCTCCCCAGGATTCCTGATAGCATCATAATATGAAGGCCTTATACTAAAGCATAATCAACAGTGTTTTGTTACATTTGGGTTTGTTTTGTTTAATAATTGGTAGCTGGCATTCACTGACCCCCCCATATGTTATTCTCAGCTATGTTATCATTCTCGGCTTTACCTGAGCTCGTAGGGCTGCCGAGGGCTTGGCACGTGTAGTATTTTCCACAGGCTGGATTCCCTGGACACTTTCTGACAATACCTCATTTGGTCCTACTGCCTGGGGCCTATCGGCATCCTCCTTTTTATTAGTACGAGTCCTCCCCTATCTGTTCTGTGTTTGTAAAATCTGACACCTCACATTTTCCTAGTACCCAGCTAGTATCATCCAAGTTTGTTATATTTATATATAGAACCTTGCAAATTTCTTTATTTCCATGGAAGGTTCCTGTATACCCTATACCATGCCCTCGCCACCTGTAACGGGGATCTGCTTGTTGGTTACAACCTTGTGGCCCATATCCCACTTGTAAAAATTTATCCCGACCAGCCCTGAGTGTCCAGTCCGTAGAAATGGTTTCACACCCCCAGTATGCACAATAATACACTGTTCGGGTAATTACAGTACCCCTTTCCTGGGTTAGAACTTGGGCAGAAATAAAATCCTGATCGGTTAAAGCATGGCTGCACTGACACCAGGTCACATAATGTGATGCGGAAACTGGGAGCACCCTGCTGTCGTTTGCTGGATGATGAATTGATCCTTCCATCTGATCAAGCTCCACTTAAAAGGCTGATGGGGATGCGCAGACCCATAGCTGACCAAAGCGATGATACTGACTCCCATGTATCGTAGGAGGTGGTCGGAGCCCATCTAAATTGTCGGCCCCTCAGTCCCCCACCGTTTTCACTTCTCTGCCTCGCTTGTCAGTTCGGTTGCAGCGAACTACAAGGTATCGGTTCTTCTTGGCAGCAGCAGTGTTCTTCAGGGGAACCTACTAGGGAGCCTTTGAAACAGGGCCTCCTCCCCTTCCCACGATACACAGATAATATACAATACTTATCGAGTCCGTCTTAGTGTCAGCTTCAAGTCGTCAGGGCCTGGAGCTGCCTCCCATTTACCTTCCCGGATTGGTCCTTTCACACAGCTGGCATGCGTCCATCCTTTCTCCGTAGTTCGAACAGCCGTTTCTGTGGTAAGCAAAACAACATAGGGGCCTTCCCCATCGTGGTGTTAAAGCAGTCTCTTTCCAAGTCTTAATTAGAATTGAGGGTGATCAAGTGGCAATTCCAAGTCGTAGGGCATACCATATAGCATTTCAAAAGGAGAAATTCCTACATCAGTTCTGGGCTGTGTCCATATGTTTAACAGTGCAAGGGGTAAGCATTTTACCCAAGAAGCCTTAGTTTCCAGCACAAGTTTTGTTAGTTGTTTCTTCATTTCACCATTCATTCGCTCTACCTTTCCAGAAGAGGAGGGGTGCCAGGGGCTGTGAAAATCCCACTCAATCTCTAAGGCCTGCTTTAACCCTTGCAGTAAAGCTTTACACCCATTCAGTCACGTGGTCAATTAGGACAAACAAGTAACTCAGTAAAGTCTACCTGTATACTTTGGAAAGGTCAAAGCCCTGGCTCCCGTCCCCCTCTAGATAGGTTACAGAAGACCTTTTTATTTACCTTTTGACATATAGTACATCCTCTGCATGTGTGCTTCTCTAAAGTATATATTCCTACACAGACATGCTTTCTTAGAACAACATCACACATTGCTTGCACCTCCCAATGACTCTTCTGATGTAAAACAGTTAATATTTGCCTCATTATCACTTTATTCAGCATTTCTCTCCCATCAGGGAGTATCAATTTTCCTTAAAATGATCCACATATTTGTAACATTAATACCTCCTTGGGAGGTTGTAATTGCTCCAAAATCTTTTTTAGAATTTACCCAAATAGATAGGTGGCCCTGTAAACTCTGAGGTAAAACTGTCCACCTATATTGTTGCTTCCGCCCCCATTTCAGGGTCTTTCCAGTCAGAGGTGAATATACATGTATGTTTGCTCTCAGGGCCAGAGAGCACTCCATTAATAACACTGTTATTCCAGTCTAACAATTTACTAGTTGAATGCCCAATTTAATCATCAAATCCCTTCCCAACAAGTTAGTCTCTGCCTTGGATACATACAATAATTGCCCAGTGATCATTTTATCCCCTAGTCTCAGCTTGGTATCCCCCAAAAGTGGCACTGTTATCCCAGTCCCTTCTACCCCCTATCACATTTAGGGTTTCATTAGTTAATTTAATCCCTGATACTTTACAAGTCAGTAATCACTTAGCTGCCCCAGTATATTGGGTTTGATGGCAAGGTATGGGGGGGTGTGACGGGTGTGGGGATGGGAAACTGCAGTGGCAGCCCCCAGTGAAAAAAAAAACAAAAACAAAAACAAAAACAGAAACCTCCCCGTGGTAGATAAGGGACAATTTCATCTGGCCCTAAAGGGGCCCACTGCTGCCCAGAGCCAATCCAAACAAACAAACAAACAAACAAACAAAAAGCTGCTGCTCAACAGCAGTTGGGAGAGCGAAGAAACCCCCCCTGCAGACACCAAAGTCAGTGCAGAAGGAGGGGGAGGAGGCGCTCCAGGCGCTGGAGCCGAAGCCCCCCTGCGGCCGCTGGAGAGGCCCCTGGTGGAGCAGGCTGTTCCCCCCTCCCCGATGCTTGGGAAACTGAACAAACACCACAGCAAATATGCAAATATACCAAAACTTCTAGACTGTTACTTAGATAATGCCTACATCACCTTTCCCTGCTCATTCAACTTCGAATACCTTTAACACTTTCAACAAACCTTTGAACACTTCCTTTATCTTTCTCTAGCCTTTACTTTTCTAATGCCGACATCAAAGGCTCAGTCAGGGGCCAACTTAATTCCGTACCTTTTCCCTCCAAGATGCTGAAACAACATCAATATACAACATTTCATCCTGTTTTCCTTCTTTCCACAAAAACAACGTTAACTGTAATATGGTGTTATAATTAGTAGTTCCATTTAGGAGCCACTCCGCTCCATCCTCTAGTTTATAAAGTGGCCACCACTGATTACAATATTTGATAAGGGTTCTTTTACTCTCTGTACCCTCTCATCCCACTATATCCCTCCAATGTGTTAGTATACATCCTAGGGGGCTTTTCCTCGGGATTTCTTTGCTTTGAACTTTTCCTATTGTAATCTACAGTGGTTAATATTCCACCGTTTTCCTAGAAGCTCTTTACTAGTCAATCCCAATCCCTCCAAAATCCACAATATATAGATACACAAGTAAAATCAGACCACTGTAAATTAACTGCCTGTAGACAATTACACTGGGAACATTTAAACCTGATGAGCCGATAATATGCCTGGGAAAATTTTGTTCCCTTAAACATACACCTCAATGGCAGTTCTTATATTTACATATTTACATATTAACACAGGTATAAAAGAACACTTTAACAAAAATGCCCGGGCTTTTATATATACAATATGCAATGTACAGTTATTATTCCAGTTAGAATTATTCCTCAGCAGCTGGAAACATTGTGCCAGTTGCCATTAAAGCTCGCTTACCCTCCTCCTGTCTTTCTTAAAATCTCGGACGTCCCCAGAGTTAATGGGGACGGCCACATATTCCTAGTCACTGGTCCCTGAACGCTAGAGTCAGAGTCGCTATCAGTCTCCCTGGGGTTGCGGATTAGGAAGCCCGGGAGTCAGAGGGGCTGCAGATGGTGGTGGTGAAATATAGGGAGGCAGTGGGGCTGGGATCTCTAATTTTCGGTTTTTCTTGTGCCTCCCATTCCCTCCTTTTTCTTTTAGAAGATATAAATTGGCTCGAGTTTCTGAGCTGATCCACAAATGTGCATATTCACTTTCTTCCAAACTAAAAGGTTCCTTTGAGTTTACATAAATATTTAGGGCCTGGCAAACCCAATCTTCAAAGGACCCAAATACGGGCCAGTAAAGGTGGTCTCCTCGAATCTGTTTACCACCCCAAACTTCAACACAATAATGTATCATTTTTACTTTATTGCTTCCCCGCCTAAAAGGGGAATCCTGCCAATTTTTAATCATTAATCCCAGGGTAACCTAACATCAGACGTTACCCTGCCCATGGGACCAGAAGGCTTACTCTTCTGTCCCATCTTCTGGAGGGCCTTCACACACACACACACAAATCGCTTCCCCCTTTTCGTGGCCCAGTCCCTCGCGGGATGTGGGAACTGCACTACCGAGGGGTCCGCACTCGCTTCGTCCGCAATTGGACGTCTCACAACGCTACGCTCCAGGATACCCAACCCCAACCGAACGGATCACCGGCCTATACTTACTCACTCCTGAGTCTTCGTTCGGTCTTCGTGCACAAAGATTACTAGGGGTTGCCGGCTTTATTTGCTTGCTGCCGAATTTAGGGTTCGTCGGTGAAGGATTTGAATGAAAGTAGTCCTAGCGAAGGCCGCTGAAATCAGCGGGGCGCCCCCTCCGAAGGTCTTTCAATCAGATTGCCTTCATCCGAGTCACGGCACCAAATTTGTTATAAGTTGCCCCCTTAATTAATTTTCGGAGAGCATTGCATTAATAATAGAAAGGAAGTTATTGAGTAAGCAACAGCAAGCAAAACAGCGCTGGGCGGCCGGGGAGTCTCGGCTCCGCCAACGGCGCGCACCTCACCCCCGCCAGGGTCCCTTTTTATATCTTGGTGATTTCAGGATTACGCAGCACGTCCGGGTATGTTCTGCGACTGCGCGCACTGTTGCTAGGGGGTCGTCTCTGTCCCTCTGGTGGTCGTGAAGATGAAGGCCGTAGTCTTCCTCGGCATTGTGGTTCAACTTCTTTCTTTATTTGGTCATGTTGGCCCAGCGTGAGACAGGAAGGCAGGATGTTGATACACTAGTTTAACAACTTATCAGGAGATGGTTACATGAACTTTGCAGCAGTGTTTTTTGAACAAAAGAGGCAACTGAGATGCAGAAGGAGAGAAGGGGAGAGGGTTCTTTTTTTTTGTTACATTAAGCAAAGGAATTTTCATAGTGTCTAGCTAAGCATTATACAGCTCCTTACTTCAGCAGGGAGTTTTCACAACTCCCGCTCCTCAAACAGAACTCCTTGTTTTTACAAAAGACAATGAACAAACATTTATTGTGTATTACAGAGAACAAGCAACCTGAGACTGCATGGTGTCTCCTGAATCACCCTTCTTGGTTCCCTCTAAACTCTTTTACATTCCTGATGGCCTCATCATTAAGAGTCTGATATTATCATCAACCACAGGGGCTTTCCGACCCCCATGGCCACACTCCCAAATCTCCCCTTTCTTTATTAATGTCAACCATTTTCTCGACACGAATTACCACTCCATATATAACAGCTGCAATGCCACGAGCCCGCTACGCGTGCCGGCCCGCGGCAAGCCAGCGGCGGTGGGGCTGTGCCGGGGCAGCCCCCGCGGGGCCCGGCACTGCGAGGGGCCGCGAGCGGGCTGCGAGGGAGCGGAGCGGAGCGGAGCGGAGCGGAGGCTCCCTGGCCCTCCAGGGCTGCTCTGGTGCGAAGGGACAAGAGCCCGCGGGTGGACAGCGCGCTGGGGCCAGCCTCTTGGCGCGCCGCAGCCGCCCCTGCGCGGCCCTGTCGCGGCCTCCTCAAGCCGCACCTACGGCGCCAGCCGCCGCGCGGCGCTGCCGGGCCGCTGCCGAGCCTCCGCCGCGTTGCCTCCCCCCACCCCGCCCATGGTCCCGCCCGCGGCCCCTCCGCCTCTCCCGCCATGGTCCCGCCCGTGCCCTCCCCCTCCTCCCTCCCCTCTCGGGGAGCTGCACCCGCGGCCCAGGCGCGGTGGTGGCGGGGCCATGGCGGACGCGGCGCCGCTGCCCCTGGAGGCGCTGACGCCCCCTGGCGGCGGCCCCGGGGCGAGGCCGGGGCCGGGCCGGGCCGAGGGCGCTGAGGGCGCTGAGGGCCTGTTCGTGGTGCTGGGCGCCGGGCTCGCCGCTGCCAGCCACCCGCTGCTCTACGTCAAGCTGCTCGTCCAGGTCCGGGGCCGGCTGCGGGGCGGTGAGGGGCGAACCCCCGCGTGGGGGGGTCCGAGGAGGGCCTGTGTGAGGAGGGGTGCCGGGCCCCCTGTGTGACGGGGCAGGGCGTGCCCCGCGCACCGGGACCCCCTCTAAGCGGGGGTTGAACGGGGCAGGAGGGACCCCCGGCACGGGGACCGCAGCGTACGGGGGGGTGAGGACACCCCGTGTAAGGAGGGACTGTGCTGCACTGCCCCAGCCGAGGCCTCTGTGCAACGGGGACCGCGTTGCGAAGGGGAGCGGGGCGCTCAGGGAGTGCCACGGGAGGGCAAACCCCGCGTGTACCAGGGTTATAACGGACCTCTGTACGGCTGGGGAGAGGGATCCCTGTTTGACTGAGGAGATAAGGGCGTCTTGTGTGTACATAGTGGGGAAAGAGGCACCTGCATAATGGGGTAATGAGGGGGCCCCATTGCCCAGGGTCCACCTGTATAACAGAGGATGGCACCCTCTCTAATGGGGATCCCTATGTCAGAGTGGGGGACCTACATATAATTGGGAGGATGAGGGTACCTATAAAACAGGGAGCCTTATATATTAGGAGGATGAGAATACTTTCAGTGACAGGGACTCTGTAGGACAGGAAACAGAAAATCATATATAATGAAGGGACAAAGACCACATGTGCAGTGGGGACTTCTTTAAAAGAGAAGAACTGAGACCCCTTTTTATGACAGCAGGTGGGGACCCATATAAAATGGGACAGATGAGGATACCTATGCAGTGGGGACTCCTATATAATAAAAGATGAGACATTCCTGTACAATGGGGGGTTGAGGATCCACAGTATCCTGAGAACCCCTCTGTAATGGTAACTGCTATAAAATGAGAGCGACGAGGACCCCTGTTCTCCAGAGACCCTGTTTAATAGGAAGGGGACAGCCCATGTCATGGGACCCCCATGTATCATATGGTAACTGAGTGGGACGTGGCACTTCAGCAGCTCAGGAAGATGGAATCAAGGCCATGTGGTCTGTCAGGTTCAGGAATGCCAGAACTGTTTTGGGAACCTGCTCATGGGGTTTCTCCTGCAGGTTGGGCATGAGCCACTACCTCCAACCATTGGAAGAAACGTGCTGGGAAAGAAAGTACTGTACCTGCCTGGCTTCTTTACCTATGGTGAGTATTCCTCCAGGCCAGCCCACACATGCTAAGTGAAATGCTGGATCCAGTGTCCAGCTGCTCTTCCACCTTCCCAGCAGCATCCGTGGTCTCATTCTGAGGCTGCAGTTAGACGTTACATGCTACCACCAGTTGCACAGCCATCAGATGTACCTGTTGTTACGAGGCAGAGACAAGAAAGTTGTGGCCCAGTCTGCATCCCCCTCCTATGGCATGTTGCACTGACTTGCTTCCATAGCTGAGAGTGCAGTGGGGGTTTGTATGATGTAGGCTTGTTTGGTGGAGGGTTTTGCATGTATTAGAGATAGTGTATCGTGTTTCTTTGCTACAGAACAGCACTGCAATAACTTGGCCTTCTGCCCAGCTCATTTGTATTGTAGGTGGAGCCCTAAAGGGACAAAAATACTATGAAAGGGGAAGGTAATATATTTCTTTCTTTGTGGCTGCAGCACAGGAGAGGCAGGTGAATACTGCCTGAAAGTAGGAGGTACTTTCACAGGTGTGCATCACTTTGGGGAAAGTGAGCCCTGAGAGTTAAATGGGGCCAATCCCCAAATCAGACAGCAGTACTTGAGGGTGAAGAGCCAAGAGCAGGAGCAGTACAAAAACACTGCAAGCTGGGACACCCAGAGCTGGAAATGCTCCAGTGCTGTGCTTTGGAAGATGATGCATTTTCCAAGTAGATTTACAGCACTGCATGAGGGAGATGGGCACTGCCTTCACTCGGGACAGCAGAAGATGGGGAGGAGGAACAGTCAGTACCTGCAAGCTCACAGTGGGTTGTATTCCACCCTGTTATACCAGGGACAGATCGGCTCCTTTGGCTTTTATTTTTGTCTGTAAACCTGCCTGGGAGAAGGTGGCAGGGCAGGAGCAGAATCTGACTTTGCAAGGTCTTTATTTACCCTGACTCTGACCCTGCAGGGCAGAGGGAGAAGGTCACAACACGCAACACAAGAGATTATCCCACCCTACCTTAGTTCAGTCCAGACTGCCGCGTAGCCCTTTCAGGTAAGCAAAACAGTCGAAGGATGCACTCATCCTTCCAGTTTAGACAGATGTGACAAAGAATAGTTAAGGTTTCTTTGCAACCTATATTAAATTTATTTAGAGTTTTATAATAAAACATTTGTGGCAGGACTGCAGAGCAGTTGCTGTGACTTCCAAAGCTCCAGTGTGGTTTCAGTTGAATGCTGAAGTGAGGCAGGGTACTCTCCACAGGTTGGCTGTATCCCGCGCAGCCCGTGGCCAGACACCCATGTCCTGGGATCGCCATCCCCGAAACGCCCGAAGTCGACCCTGACCCCAGTGAGGCTAGCACACGCATCGCCTAGGATCGTAGCCCAGGGGCTCAGGACAGTCGGATCCCGTGCCTCCGGATGGAGGCAACCGGGAGCTTGGGAAGGCCGGCCTCCGCTCCGCACGGGACCGAACCCCGGTCTCCAGGACGGCCAGTCCCCGAGCAGGGGGACAACAGCCTCCTGCTTCACGGCACAGCCGGCATCCATGGCACCCGGGGACGGACCCCCGGGACACGGGATAGTCGGCCCCCGCCCAGCCCATGGCCGGACACCCGTGTCCCAGGATCGCCGTCCCCAAACTGCCCGAAGTCAGCCCTGGAGCCCAGTACGGAGAGCATACGCGTCGCCCAAGACCGGAGCCCAGGAGCAAGGGACAGACCCCGCGCCGCACGAGGCCAAACTCCCGCACACGGGACCACCGTCCCCAAGCCCACCTAAGTCGGACCTGTACCGCGGTGTGGCTAGGACACACGTCGTCTAAGACTGTAGTCCAGGGGCTCGGGACGGTCAGATCCCGTGCCTCTGGATGGACGCAACTGGGAGCTCGGGACAACCGGCCGCCGCTCCTCATGGAACCGAACCTCTAGTCTCTGGGACAGCCAGTCCCCGAGCAAGGGGACAACAGCCGTACTTCATGGCACGGCCAGCATCCACGGCGCCCGAGGATGGACCCCCGGGACACAGGACAGTCGGCCCCCGCCCAGCCCGTGGCCGGACTAAAGTCCCCGAGCAGGCAGACTACAGCCTCATTCTTCACAGCAAGGCTGGCCCACATACCGATCGATGACGGACCCACAGGACACGGGACAGCATGCCCCCTTGCCAACCAAGACAAGTGCGCAGATTGGTGGACCGCCTGTCCCCGAATCGCCCGATAGCAGCATCCCACTTCAAGGCATGGCCAACCCCTACGCAGCCCGAGGCCGGACACCCAGTCCCCAGGGCCGCTGTCCACCAGCCGCCCAAGGTTGGCCCCGGACGCAGGAGTGGATAGCACTCACATCGCCCAAACCAGAGCCCAGAGGCTCAGGATGGTCAGCTTCAGCACTGGTCGAGGCTGGACCCCTGGGACACAGGATAGCATGACCCCTTGCCACCCGAGACCAGTACTCAGATTGCAGGATTGCCGGTACCCAAACTGCCCCACAGCAGCACCACGGGTCAAGGCACTGCCAGTCCCCATGCTGCCCGAGACCGGACACCCGGTCCCTGTGACCGCCGTCCACGAGCCGCTCAATGTTGGCCCCGGACGCAGGTGTGGATAACACTCGCGTCACCCAAACCGGAGCCCAGAGGCTTGAGGATCGACTCTTGCACTGATCGAGGCCAGACCCCCGGGACAAGAGACAGCATGCCCCCTTGTCGCCTGAGACCAGTCCTCAGATTGCGCAGATTGCTGGACCCCGAACCACCTGACAGCAGCATCCCGCTTCAAGGCATGGCCAGCCCCCACGCTGCTGGATGCTGGGCAGCGTTTAAGGACTCTTAGCACTTCGCCGGGCAGCCTTTTCTAATATCTAACCAGCCCTGCCATGAAGAAATGCTTATTTAGTATCCAAATAGCCAGTGCTGGTGAATAAATTTGTTCCTCCCTTGGGGTAGGGCTTGGCATTTTCCTCTCCTGGACTTCTAAAGGTTGCTGCCTGCCCCTATCTGCAGGTAGTCAAGGTTCCTCCTAATGCACCATCCCCGCCCCACACAAGGGCCCTTTCCACAAAAGCCTCCGACCACCCGCCGCCTCACCCCCTCCCGATTCTTCCTGCCCCAGGGCGCCACTGACCACCAACCTCGTGGCACCATACCGTGGCGTCCCAGGCTCTCCTGACAGCTTCCACCCATAGGGTGGTCCCAGCTGTAACAAGTGACTGAGTCCAAAATAGGGTTACAATTAAAGTTTACAATTCATTAAATGAATAGAGGTAAGCAAGCAGTGCTGGGTGCGCCTGGAGTCTCTGCTCCACCAATACACACACCAGTTACATCAGGTGGCTGGTTTTTATGCTCCTAGGCTAATACATATTCGTTACTACTTCTAGAAAAGGAAGGGTTATTATAATTAGTTCCTGGAATCCGAACCCTCCCACTGGTGCATGCGTTATCTGTCTCCGGTGGTCCCTCTGGGGGTCTCTCATGCTGAAAGCTCATAGTCTTCCTCACAGGCTTTTTCCAGGTCCTTCTCTGTCGATCTTGGCTGGATGTCAGAGACTTGCATAGTGTCCCATGCAACAGTTGTAATAGCAGTTATTCTGAAACCCCTTCGTTCTCTTATCCCCTGTTGATCCAAATTGCTGGACCATTCCTTTGCAAGATACAAGAACTATACACGTTAACCACTCTGGTTTTCTTAGACTTGTGGTTATACAAGGGTATGTAAGACAGAAGGTCACATTCCATCCCCACCCACCCCTCCCCCACCCTTACACAGGCTCCAAAGGTACACAAAGAGCTCCCACCCCTCCGCCAGAAGGAGGCACCTACAGTGTACAAGCTGCTCCCAAGCCCCCCAGGTGGGATTTGGCGCCCTGGGTCCACCTCTGGGTCCAGAGGCTCAGCAGGAGTCGGAGCCCAGGGTGCGCCACGGGGTCTGTGGGTGGGTGCCCGAGGTCTGCTGCAGGTTCTGGGACCTTGGCGGGAGTCAGCGCCTGGGCGCCTCCGCGGGGCCCCAAGAGCTCAGCAGCATAGGGGCTCAGGCATCACTGCGGAGCCCTGGGACCAGGGCCAGCGCCCAGGGTCCTCCTCGGGGCCCCAGGGAGTCGGGGCCGGTGTACCAGACGTCCAGAAGACTGGGTACTGCCCACTGGAAATTGGAGCACCAAGGTCCTCAGAGAACCCCTTGAACCCCTTTTTCCTGTTTGTTTGTTTGTTTTCCCTTGCAACTCACATACCCATGCCTCTAGTGTCCTGCTAGATTTTCCATCCCTTTTTCTGAAGTCCTCTCCATGGTCACGTAGGTAAAACCACAGGGTGGCACAGACTTCAGCAGTCCAAGCCAGTTCTTGCTTGTTTTATTATCTGTGTGTATGAAGTCTTTTCTTCCCTTATCTTTTAGTGTTGTCCCATCCTCATACTCCCTCACTCAGTCCTGTCCTTATGGTTGATATACAGCATACACCCTGGGTTAGCTAAAACCTGCAAAATCTGAATGCTTTCCCTTGTTCCCTGTCCCATGCAGACTTTATCTGCTACAGCACCCTTCCCAGAAGGTATGTGGTAATTATAGAAGACCAATTCTAAAGACTGATGTCACAGCCCACCTTGGCCACAGCACCTGGTGAATAAAAGAGAAAGCAAACGCAGTGCTTGGAAGTGCTGTTGCACGTGCCGCTCCTTGCTGCTCTCTGGCCTTGCCTCAAATCCTCAGTGACATCAGTTGAGAGCCTGTCATGCCACCTGCAAAGCAAGAGGGAGACCTTTCTCACCTTGCACTACTTAGCCATTCTGCTCCAACCTAGCTGATGACCAGCCCACCTTCTCACACTGCTCTTCAGTGTGCAGTGTGCCCCTCTGAGGCTGTGTGAGACACCTGCCAAAGAGGAAAAAAAGCACAGGCTGAGGTAGCAGCCAAAGCCACAGCACCCCTAGCACAGTTACTCTCATCCACTCCCTTACCGCAGCTGCTCACCTGCCCCCGAGGCAGATGATTCTCTCTGCCCTCATAAGCCAGATACAGCACCCCTACAATGCAAACAGGATTTTTACTGTATTTTATGTAGTAAAATAACTGCAGTGACTACAGCACCCCAAAAAATAACTGCTACATCTGTTCATCATTCACCTTGCCAGAGGCAGTTTGGGTCGCAACATCCCATGTTGGATGCTGCATTTCAGCACTAACAAAAAAAAATTAAAAGATAATCATTCTTCTGCCACCATTAGCACCCATCTCTCAATACCACAAGTGACCCCATTTTTAATTTTATCGTTTCAGAACAGCAGCCATCTTGCCTCGGCTCCTGGAAGAGATGGTTTCAAAAAATAAAATTAACCGGAGAAACGCTTGTAAAAGTGATGGAATCAGGCTGGCAATGCAAGAGCAACACAATCAAAGCTACAGTTGGGGAGAAGAGCAGAGCTCTGGCACTCTGGCGAGGCTAGCTACAGTACAATTTGCATAGGGTCAGGGTCCTGCGAAAAGCGAAAGGAGAACACACCAGGAAGCAGTAAATTAATTACACCCAAACCATCTGGCCAGGTCCCAGCCTGGACACACCACAAGGAAGGAACAAGCCGTGGTGTTCAACAGAACCCTAACACTGCCACAACACTACAGCACAGCAAGGCTTTCCCTTGGCAAAACAATTCTTGGCCTTTTGCTGCAGTGTGCTTTGCCCGGGGCAGGGGTGGGGGTCTGTTTAGGGCATAGGTTTTCAGAAGCTCAGACAAAGCTCAGAGTCCTGTTGTATGGAGGACTGTACTAAGGCTGCCAGTTGTGGTCTCACAAAAGGCTGTCATCATCAGCATTTCCTAGGTAGCTTAGGTAGCTTTAATCTAAGGTTAGGGTGAGTATTAGGGGAGGGAAAGATTTGGAAGGAAATTGCAGAGACCTAATGGGAGGGGGGGGGATGCATAACGCTTGCTAAATGAATTTCAGGTCTCCTTGACTGCAGTGTAAGGTTCTTGCCACTTTGCCATTAAAAGGTCACGGTCCCAACTTCAGAGCAGCACTTGATGTCCACTTCAGAAAGGATGGACTCCTGAAGAAGAGGAGAAGCATTAACAAAAAAGAAAACCAATATATTAGAGAATATATATTCGCTCTGGCAATGCCAGGGTGACAAAATCAAAGGTGCAGTCACGGAGGAGGGCTGAGCTCTGGTGCTCCTTGACAGTAAGCTGCAGTGCACTTTGCCTGGTGTGAGGGTTCTGTTTAGGTCTTAGGTTTTGGGGTGCGACAAAGCTCAGAGTACAGTTGTGTACGGCTTTCCAAAGGAAATTCAGTATTCTTTGAGTGCAGTGTAAGGCTCTTGGCATTTTGCCATTAAAATCTTGGGGATCCAACTTTGGAGCAGCACCTGATATCCACCTTGGAAAGGATGCACTCCCGGAAAAAGAGGAGGAGCATTTAAAAGAGAGAAAACCAATGAAACAGAGAATAGCTTCTAAAAGTGATGTCCTCAGCCTGGCAATACCAGAGTCACAAAAATCAAAGCACATGCTGGGTGTCTTGAGCTATGCTTAGTGAGCCACAATCAATACGCACATCCAAGCCCTGTGAACACTGGTGCAAAAGCGAAGAGAGAGCACACCAGGAAGCAGGTAAGTTAAGTGCATGCAAACCATCTGACCATGTCCCAGCCCAGACACACCACAGGGAAAGAACAAGACATGGTGTTCAATGGAACCCTAGCACTGCCAAAACACTACGGCACAACAAGGTTCTGGGAGACCAGCACAGCTGGGCAATCCTGTCTCAGTTAACTGTGAGTTTGGACAGCATGAATTGTTAAGCCTGCTTTGTTCATATCTTGCGTATCTTGTAGGATAGGCTTGCAGAAAGCTTTATGATTATTTTTTCTATCTGTATACCTCTCTTTGTTGTTTTATTATCATCCAGTGAAAGATGTTTTTGGGTGGCATTTCTCCTCACTTTCCTTGGCAGGGGAAAAGGAAATGAATCTCCAAACTTTTCATGAGATTTATGCAAGTATGGAGCACAACCCCTACCATAACTGCTCTCTCACTCCTCCTCCTCAAAAGGAAAGGGGAAGAAAATACAATGGAAAAGACTCAAGGGCCTCAGGATTCAATATAGGGACATTAATGCAATTAGCAACTTGTTAGCAACTATTGCTAAAAAGCTAGAGCAGTGAAAAAATAAAAACAGCTTCCCCCATCCACCCTTTTCTACATCCTTCCCTCTGAACTGCACAGGGGAACAGGGAAGGGGGGCTGCAGTCAATACATAACACTTTACAGTCTTCACGGTCACTCTCTGTCTCTTTTCCATTGTGGGGTTTCTCCCACAGGATGCCATCCTTCCCAAACTGATCCTGCATGGACTTCACACAGGCACCAGTTCTTCAAGAACTTCTCCAAATATAACACGGGGTCCATCCTTCAAAAGCAAACTGTTCTGACACAAGTCCCCTATGGGCCACAGTTCCCCCCAGATCTCCTCCTCCTGGAGTGGGCTTCTTCACAGGCTGCAGCACAGAAATCTGGCTGCCACCATGGTCCTCTCCACAGAATCATAGAATCATTAAGGTTGGAAAAGGCCCTTAAGATTATCTGGTCCAACCATCACCCTACTACAAATGTCATCCAGTAAACCACGTCCCTAGGCACCACATTGAACTTTTCCTTAAACACCCCCAGGGTTGGTGACTCTACCACCTCCCTGGGCAACCTGTTCCAATGCCTGACTGCTCTTTCTGAGAAGAGATGTCTCCTAATTTCCAGACAAAACCTCTTGTGATGCAACTTGAGGCCATTCCCTCTAGTCCTATCACTAGTTAGCTGTGAGAAGAGGCCAACCCCCAGCTCCCCACACCTTCCTTTCATGTAGTTGTAGAGAGCAATAAGGCCTCCCCAAGCCTCCTCTTCTCCAGACTAAACAACCCCTGTTCCCTCAGCTGCTTATCACAGGGCTTGTGTTCCAGGCCCTTCACCAGCTTTGTAGCCCTTCTCTGGACACATTCCAGGGCCTCGATGTTGTAGTGAGGAGCCCAAAACTGAGTACTTGAGGTGCAGCCTCACCAGAGCTGAGTAAAGGGGAATGAGCACCTCCCTGCTTCCTGATACAAGCCAGGATGTTGTCAGCCTTCTTGGCCACCTGGGCACACTGCTGGCTCATGTTTAGGCAGATGAGTATCGACCAACACCCCCAGATCCTTTTCCTCTGCACAGCTTTCCAGCCACTTTCCCCCAAAGCCTATAGCACTGCATAGGGTTGTTCTGACCAAAGTGCAGGACCTGGCACTTAGACATGTTCAGCTTCATCCCATCAGCCTTTGCCCATCAATCCATCCTGTCCAAGTCCCTCTGAAGAGAAGGGTACTCTGAGAGACTGGCCAAAGTAGACAGTAATTCGGTCTTCTCCATTCCAAAGCAGCTGTGCCAGGGCCTACTGGTACTCTTCTGGGTCCTCTCCTGGGTCTATGCCATGAAGCTTCTGCACAAGTCACAATGGTGTGCTTCTGCCTTGCACTGCCAGTTAGTCTCACTTCAGCCTTATACTCCTCGGGGTCTGATGTGCCAGGTCATTGAATCAAAATATTCCAATAAACCTGGTTGTCCCTTTCCTCCACCTGATCGAAGGCAGGGCTCCCCTAGTCTTGGTCATAGCATCTTTTACCCACTTCTTGTAAATGAAAACAAGAAGACCCTTCATTAAGAATGGAAGAAATATCAGCCCTTCTCCTCTGGGGAACTGCCTGCTGGAAACTGGAGCAGCAATTTTACTGGCAGAACCCTGCTTTTGCTGCTGTTTTTTCTTGCAACTCACTTACCTGTGCTTATAGTGTCAAGATAGATTTTCTCATCCCACTTCCTCATGTTCTCCCTCTGGTCCTGCAGGCAAAACCAATGGACAGAGGAATCCTTACTCCTAATAGCTGAGATACTGGTCCATACAAGTGGGGAGGAAGATATATTCTCTTTGAGTTGCTGGACCTCTCAGGGCAATTTCTCCACGGCCGATATGCAGGTCCATAGGGAAGCAGAGAGATTTTCTTTGTGTTGGCTGGCCACTACATCCACTGCGGGTTCCTCTCCATCTTCCCAGCTCATCACTGCCAGTGCACTGGTATACGACAAGAGTGCATTCCATCCTTTCCAAAGGCTGAGGGCTCTTTCCCATTTCCCAATCACTTTGTCAATGACCCTTTCCCTATAGAATGATCTCAGCTGCTTGGCTTCCTTGTCCTCTAGTTCATGGCTAGTGTCCCCATTTTCCCTGCATCAGAGCAGCCAGGTGATGATGTGCTTACCTGGATGACAGCTGAAATCTTTTCATATATCTCACAGCTCGCCCTGGAATTGAGATTAGGTGGTTTCTGACTTTTTAAAGCCTTCTGCCTTCTTCCTTCTCCTGTTCTCACAATGGCCCTGCATAGCAGTTTGCCTCTTCTAATTCTTCCTCCTGTTCTCTCCTAGGAAAAGCATCTTCTTCCCTTACTAGACAAGCTGACTTCTGCTTTTATTTCTTCTTATTGACTATAGGGGCAAAAGATACTGACACCAGTTGGTTTTCTGGTTGAGCCACAGTTTCCGTCATCGAAACAGACACATAACAGCCACTGTGTCTGTTATGGGAGTTGGATTAGCCCCAGTGTGCTATTTTGACATCACATCCAGAAACCTTTTCCCATTGAGGGTGCTGAATAGTGTTGAAAAGTGCTTGGTAGGCTTGGGCAAGGCCCCAGCACATTGCAGTGATTTGTGACTATCTGGAATGGCAAGGGCAACAGCATACTTTTTCCCAAACATTTTAACAGTTTATTGGGATTTTGCTCTTGTTCAGAGATGAAATTCCAGAACACTGAAGGTGTCCTCTATTCTAGGTGCTTGGCCATACTATCCCACACACCCTGTCAGAACTACCTGTTCAGCCTCAGGGCAAATGTCTGGGTGTTATACGTTATACGTTTTAAAAAAAAAAAAAAAAAAAAAAAAAAAGAAATCAATGTCTTGTACTGAGATCAGGACAGTTTAATTAAAAAAAAAAAGGAAAGGAAAGGAAAGGAAAGGAAAGGAAAGGAAAGGAAAGGAAAGGAAAGGAAAGGAAAGGAAAGGAAAGGAAAGGAAAGGAAAGGAAAGGAAAGGAAAGGAAAGGAAAGGAAAGGAAAGGAAAGGAAAGGAAAGGAAAGGAAAGGAAAGGAAAGGAAAGGAAAGGAAAGGAAAGGAAAGGAAGGGAAATATTAGCAAAATGAATACACAAAGCAAGTAAGTGATGCGTGTCACCGTTGCTCATCAGCTGATGCCAAGCCAGTTCCAGACCAACAGTAGCCTCCCTGGCCAACTCCCCCCACTTTCATTGTTCAGCATGACACAATATGGTGTGAAATAGCCCTTTGGCTAGTTTGGGCCATCTGTCCTGTTCATCTCTGAAAGACCTTTGACTCTGTGTAAGTACTGCTCAGCAATAATTAAAACGTGGTGTGCTATGAATATTTGCTATGAATATTATCCTGATCCTAAATCCAAAACACAGTACCATACCACCTACTATGAAGAAAATTAACTCTATCCCAGCTGAAACCTGGACAGGAAAGTTTGCATGTGAGGAGAAACCTTTCCTCCCAATGCGTTTCAAAGAGTTGAGACTGCCCACTCAATGCTCACTCTTCTCTTCAGTGGGAGAATTGTTGCTGGTTTTTTGTGCTTCACACAAAGGCCTTTGCAGTGAGCGGGGTGGGTTTGCTAAGCACATTTTCTGAGTGTAGAAGAATCTCTGTCTTTGAGACCTGAACCATGTCTTCCTGGGAGTGTCTTAGAGCTAGTGCTTCTGATGTCACTTCTCCCTGATTAGAAAATAGATAGGGCAGAAGCAGAGACATGACTTTTGTGGTCACCTGTGTCTGACTGCACAACAGCAGGCAAGTCTTGTGTGTGTGCTCGTGTACATGATATTTCTTGGGTGAAGAATAAATATAAGCATCTGTTAGCTTTTAGGTACCATTCAAACACAGCTGGAGCATCTGTCACAGCTACACTGTCTTTAGGAGTGAGCAGGCAAATACAGATTTCCAAAAGTGCTCATCACATTGAGGAAGCCTCTAGGCCTGAGTTTGTATATAAGTGGGTGGTCCAGATGAACTGAATCACAATGTTTCATCCCTGTAAATCCTGAGCAGGCAGAGCTCTGAAGACATGTTCAGAAACATGAACTAGCTTTTTTTTTTTTAAATATTTTTTTAAACTCATTAATATTCCTTGTCAAATCACAGCTGATTTGTGGTGACCTAAACCTTGCTTGTTTATAGGTTAGACCAAAATTCCAGAGCAAGTATTAGAGTGCAATTGACTGAGAGTAAGTGAGGTGGTGGCATTCTCTTAGCATGCAGTTACTAAAGGTCTAACTAGCCCATCTTGCTTCCAACTGGTGCAAGAGATTGCAATTCTGAAAATAAATTGCATTTGGTACTTGGACCAATGCCACCAGATTAACCACATCCACTGGGGCCACAAATAAATATTGTGAGAAAAAGGGGGTCAATATGCTTTGGGATGGGTGTGGAGCACTCCAAGGGAGGCGATATGAGAACCTAGTGACATGGGGTGACATCCCAAAGAATGTTGGGGACCCAGTAGATAGAGGAGTTCCCCCGAGGTGTCCCAGAGGGAGTCCTAAGAGAATCCTATGGGACATGGGGCAGGTTCCACAGACAACACAGAGATTCTGGCACAGTCCAAGGCCTTTATTTCCCTGGCAAGATCCCTGGGGTTTTCCAACGTGTTTCTTGCTCCTGGGGGAGGTCTGGTGGGATCCAGAAGCATCCTCCTTGGTCATGCTTATCTCTGCAGGGGACAGGCAGGTCCCACGTTGATCATGACCACACAGGAGCCCTGCCTCCACTTCTTGGCTCCAACCTTGAGCTACCTGGACCAGCTCAGCCACTACTACCTCCTGTAATGAAGACCCTGAGGACACAGGTACACAGGTCATGGCCAGACATCAGAGACAGGGGAACAGGAGGCACAGGAAGACAGGGCTCAGGGCCTGACACCACAGAGACAGGGAACACACAGGGGGACATGGGGACAAGGAGGGGATATAAGTGAGCAGAGGTCAGAGACTAAAACTGGGGGTGTATGCAGGCAGGGCATAGAGAGTAACAGAGGTCAGGAATTAGGGCTTGGAACCAGTGACTGGGGAAGAGGAATCCAGGGAACACAGGGAGAGGGACAGGTTAAGGGCCTGGCAAAGGATATAGCAGGACTGTGAAAACAAGGGACATGTTCCACCAGGAACACAGCAGGACATTGAGAAGACAGGGCTCAGGATGAAGTTGCTACTGGACAGTGAAAGACATGGTGGAACCAGGGGAACAGGGGGACATGGAGCAAGGTATGGCCTGATCCTGTAGGTTCCCAGGGCCATCCATAGTCCTGGCATGCCCTCCAGTCCTCTCCAAACACCTCATGATCCTAAGTGTCTCCCTTGATGCTACTAGATGCTGTTGTGCTTCACATGACCATCCTTATAACCCTAAGGTGCCATTCGACCCCTCCAGACCACTGGGTGCCCACAGGTACCTCCCATGACCCTCCATATGATCCTCCATCCAAGATCGTACAATGCACCCCAGATAGGAGTGTGCACCCACACTTACCCTATGGTCCCTTTCATTGCCCTATCTTGCTCCAGCCCCCTGAATTCCCAGCATTTTCCCCATAACCTCCCAGTTAGGAAGATTCCACCTTTGTTGGGGTTCCCAGGGATCTCTCCTTCCTCCTGGAGGAGGGCTGTGGACACCTCTACCTCTTGGCCATGCTCAGGGCTCCCCACATAAACCAGAGTCAGGTCAAGGCAGGTCTGTGGGCAGGGACACAAGACATGGAGTGAGATCAGGGCAGGTACTGCCCCCATTGCATACTTCCAATAGTGCCAAGCTCACCTGGGGTGTGAGGATGTAGCCATAGAGCCTGGCATGCCGAAGGACTGTTTCGAGGAGATGGGCTGCGATGTGGGCAACCTGGGTCAGCCCAAATACAGCTGCACTGACCGGAGGGCACTACAATGATGGCACCATGGCAGAAGCAGGCAAAAGAAAGCCAGGGACTGGGAAGCATGCATGGAGCGTACAAGGGGAGGGGAAAGGAAGAGAGAGAAGCATGCAACAAGCATGTTGGGAATCTGAGGGTTCAGAGCACAAGGAACGTGCAAATTCTGGTAAACCTGAAGGAAGCATGTGGGAGTATGCAGGCTGCAAGTTCAGACAAGTACATGTGGAAAGTGCACCACTAAGCATGCCATGGGGACACCAGTGTGTGGAAAGCATGCTATGAGCACAGGGCCTCTCTAAGTGTGGGAGGAGTACATAAGGACCATGCAATAAGCATGAATAGAGTATGTAAGTGCCAATAACCATGTGGGGTGTATTTAGGTTGTTGTGTGGATGCTGAGAAGCATATGGAGACTGCACAGGGAGTATTCAAGTCCTAACAAGTGTGCAAGAATGGGGCAAGGAATGTATGGGTGCCAATAAAGCTGTGAGGGGCATGTGAAGACTCACATGCACAGCATGGCGCAGAAGCAGCTCACTGAGGTAGGTGTAGCACTCCTCCACATCCAGTAAGGGTGTCTCTGGGATTGGGAGAGTCAGTGGTAAGACCTTTGCTGTGCTGTGTCCTCCCATCCTCTCCTAGCCCTGCACATACCTGTACACATGATGATGGTTTGATACACAATGCCCAACAGGGCTGAGAGTGGCCCTGGGGTCAGGTCTAGCTCCTGGCCCAGTTCCAGGGCCCCTTTGTAGGCATCCTGAATGACAGGGGGCCCCGGCAGAACATCTGTCAGAACACTGTAGGAACAGGCACACCTCAGGGGGACATAAATGGGACGTCCTAGGGGCACAGGGAGAGCTTGAGGGATATGAAAGGGACAACCTGGGAAGACATAATAGGGAAAACAAAAGGGTCCAGAATATCCTTCAGAGACACAATGTAGGCACTTGCAGGGAGAGGAACAGGGGCATACTGGGACACCTTGAGGGGACCTAAGGAAGAAGCCATGGTAATGGGGCATGGAAAAGTCATGAACACCTAGAGGGCTGCTAGGGGGAACAAGGATACCAGTAGGAGACATGGGGACATCCTGGGAGGGGACGTATGCACCCAGGACTGGATTCTAGGATGTCCTGGATGGGACAAGGACACTGGGGTCAATGAAGGGAAATGGGATACTGCAGGGATGATAGGGAGACTAAAGGAATCCTGGAAGGGTAGGAGGTGAATGGTGGTATACCAGTGGTATCCCTGGGAGTCCTTGAGGTGAGGTCTCTGAGTGTCCTACTGGTCTCCAGGGTGTCCCAGGATTTTTTGGAGGTCCCCAGAGGCATTATTCAAGTGACCCACTGGTGCCTAGAGTGTCCTATCTGTTGCCTAGGATGTTCTGTGTTTTTCCCCAATCATGCCTGGAGCTCCCATAATGTCCCAGTGTGTCGCCAGAGTGTCTTCAGGGATCTCAGGTGCCTCAGAATTGTTCTACAGTGTCTCCAGGGTTCCCTGCTGGTGTCTTGGTATTTGAGTCCCCCAGGTGTTTTTCCCCTGGCATCCCCAGTGACCCAAGGTAGTCCAGAAATGTTTCAGGGTGACTCAAGTGTCCAAGGCCTCTCCAAGCACCCCCATCCCCTCACTCACACATGCCGATCCTGCAGGATTGGGGCTGCCTCAAGTCTCTCCATGGCCACCACATCTAGGTCTGTCCTGCAGGGATGTGGAGGGAGTAATGATGACAAGAGACATGGGGACAGATGGGAACAGTGGGACTGGAGGGTGGGAAAGGGCAGGAAGGCAGAGGACAGATGGGGATAAGCAGACACAGCTAGGCGTTGAGAACTCACGGGCCCAGGTGTGCCTTCTCAGACTTCTGGGAGGAAGAAAAAGGGGCAGAAAGGAGAAAGGATGTAGGCACAAGTGTGGACAGTTGAGAATGGGAGACATGGGAATGGCTGGGGACAGTAGGGGAAAGCAGATCCACTGCGAATATTTCAGAATAGGCTTGAGGCCATACTCGCCACACACAGATCTTGGTTTCAAGCCACATGGTCTGCGACAGAAGGAGCAGGGCTGTAAGGACAGTCAGGAAGGTGGGTGCCCCCAGCCCTACCCCTTGCAGGGCCAGCACCATCCCCAACCAGGAACAGGGATAATACATCTCCAGTTCTACTGTCAGGGCCATTGCTGTCACAGTCCCAGGAAAAGGTGCAGCCCCAAACTCCCCAGGGTGCTTCCAAACCACCAGCAGGGTCACAGCTGTCCTTGCACTGGGGCTGAGGTGTTCCCACACACAGCTTCAGCAGGACTAACTCTGTCCCCAGCCCTGAGGAGATGGAAAGGGTGCCCCAACTGCTGGTGGGACCTCAACGTCCTGTCCTTTGTGTCGCTGTGAAAGCTGATGACACTATTGCTCCAAACATTGATGACACTATTGCTCCAAAGTTCTGGTGGCACAGACAGCAGTGACTTCATCAGTGGCAAAAACGTTGTTGTTAGTGATGACTTTGACCTAGTTTCTGATACTATCTCTGATATTTTTTGGTATAATGTTGCTTACACCCTTAACATCACTGTTGCCTGTGTTAAGGCCCTGAAATCAGAGAACACTGAATGGCCAGCAACGCATCATTCTGCACAGTTGTTTGCAATGTGACTTACACGCAATGAGCATGATGGCAAAAACAGCGGTGATGTCACCGTTGCTACTATACTATGGGCACCGATGCCTTCACTACTATAGCACAAATCCTGGTAATTAGTACTAATTAGCAATTAGCACTCACCGTGTCACAGATCACAATGTGGCTATTTGGGGCAGGCCTGGTGATGTCACCGGTGCTCATAAGGAAATGCACACCAATGACGTCACAAAATCTGTGCAGCCTGCTGCCACTCACAGATCCTGAGAGGTCACAGTCCCAGGATATCACCACGGGCTTTAACCCAGGCCTGACCACGGCCACGGTGCCCGCCTTTGCCTTTGCCTTTGCCTTTGCCTTTGCCTTTGTCTCCGCCTCCGCCTCCGCCTCCACCACCCCCGCCCCCGCCCCCGCCCCCGCCCCCGCCCCCGCCCAGCGCTGCCCCTGCCGCTCCCCCACCTCCCGGAGCCCTGACGGGGAGCCCGCGGCTGCCGCTCGCCCAGGCCGCTGCCGCACGAGCTCAACGGTGGGCAGCCACTAGGAAGAGGCTTTACTGCAAGGCGTGGAAAGCAGAAGCCAATCAGAAAGGCTCTCACTGCTCTCCTGCTGAGGAAAGGGGGAAGGGTACCGGCCAATCCTCAGCACCCTCATTCTGTGGTGGCAGGGATTCTCACCAATCACAGTGTAGCTTCTTAGCAGCAGCCTCGCCCTGCCCCCTCTGTGCTGCTCCCGCCCGGAGCTCGCGGCGGTGCCGCTGCCCCCGGTGCTGGGCTGGGGGCGGCTGGGGGCAGCAGGGCGGATGGCGGCTTGACTGGGGGGTGCGGCATAGGCTGTGTGGGGGAGCAGCAACTGGTGAAAATTCTGTGGTCTGCTGAGCAGCAAGTCTTGGTAGCTGGGACAGTTCCCTCAGAAAATTCTGCTCCCGTAGTCTGGGTGGGGAGGAAAGATGCAACCCACGGGAGCAGGGGAGGACCCGTCCTGTCCAGGTCTCTCTAAGGAGCCTTCCTGCCCTCTGGTAGATGCTACCCCCAACTTCATGTCATCTGCAGACTTACTGAGGGTGCACTCTGTAATAAGTGGTTGGAACCAAAACCACTCTCAGAATAATCTTTATCAGAGCCAAATTTATTAAGCAAGCATTCAAGCAGGCAAAACAGCGCAGGGTGGCCGGGGAGTCTCCGCTCCACCAACAGCGCGCGTCTCACGCCCGCCAGAGTCCCCGTTTTATAGCTTGGTTATTCCAGGTGTACGTGGCATATCCTGGTATGTCCTGCAGTTGCACATACTGTTGCTAGGGGGTCGTCTCGGACCTCCTGGTGGTCGTGAGGATGAAGGCCGTAGTCTTCCTCTGCATTGCAGGTTGTGATCTTACTGAGCAAGCACTATACGTGTTCTATACATGTTCTTATCAGGATAGTCAGCTGGAAACTTTCTAGCTATATAGGGTTGTCACAGCCCCCACAAGCTTCCCCAAGATTTATTACAGGTTCTTATCAGGATGGTCAGCTGGAAACTTTCCAGCTGTACGGGGTTGTCACAGCCCCCACAAGCTTTCCCACCAGTTTGATTAACAAACTTATTATACAATATTTATTACACACTCAATTCCCTCATTCAAATCAGCAATAAAGATATTAAAAAAGATGGGCCCCAACAGAGACCTTTGGGGAACACCAGTCATGACCAGTTGCCGGCTGGATTTCACTCTGTTCACCACTCTCTTGGCCAAGCCATCCAGCCAGGTTTTAACCCAGCAAAGAGTGTACCTGTCCAAGACACGGGCTGCCAGCTTCTCCAGGAGAATACTCAGGGAGACCATGTCAAAGGCTTCGCTGAAGTCTAGGAAGACTATATCAACAGCCTTTCCCTTATCCACAGGGCGGGTTACCCAGTCAAAGAAGGAGGTGAGGTTGGTCAGACAGCACTTGCCTTTCATGAACCCATGCTGGCTAGGCCTGATCACCTGGTTGTCCTGTATACATTGCATGATTGCATTCACGATGACCTGTTCATCACCTTTCCTGGCACCAAGTTCAGGCTGACAGTACTGTAGTTCCCAGGGTCCTCCTTAAAACCCTTCTTTTACATGGGTGTCACATTAGCAAGTCTCCAGTGAGACCTCTCCAGTTGACCATGACCGTTGAAAGATGATGGAAAGTGGCCCAGCAATCACATCTGCCAGCTTCCTCAGCACCCTCAGGTGTACCCTGTCTGGCCCCCTGGACTTGTGACAGTCCTTGTGGAGTAGCAGGTCTCTAAATGTTTCCACCTGGATTGTGGGGTGTTTATTCTACTACCCATCCCAGACTTCCAGGTTGGGAGGCTGAGTACCCGAGGATAAGTGGTCTGACTGTTAAAGACAGATGCAAAGAAGTCATTAAGAACCTTGGCCTTTTCCTTATGCTCAGTAGTCATGTTCCCCTCTGTGTCCAGTAAAGGACAGAGATTCTCCTTGGCCCTCTTCTTATCATAAATACATTTGTGAAACCTTTTTTTTTTTTTTTTTTTAATCCTTAACCATAGAGGCCAGGTTGAGTTTGTACTGGGCGTTTCTGATTTTCTCTCTGCATATTCTGGCGACGTCCTTGTATTCTTCCTGAGTTGCCTATTCCTTCTTCCACTGGACATAATCTCTATTTTTTCCCCAGAGACTCAGCAAATGTTCCCTGTTCAGCCATGCTGGTCTTCCCCACCGGCTAATCTTATGGCACACATGGACAGTCTGTTCCTGTACCTTGAAGACTTCCTTCTTGAGGAGCATCCATCCTTCCTGGACCTCTTTGCCCTTCTGGACTGACTCCCACATGACCCTCCCTGCTAGTGTCCTGAATTGTTCAAAGTCTGCCCTCTGGAAGTACAACGTAGCAGTTTCGCTGACTCCCCAAGAATAAAGAACTCTACCATGTCATGGTCACTCTGCCCAAAACAACTCCCTACCACCACATCTCCCACCAATCCTTCTCTGTTTGTGAACAGCAGGTCTGGCAGGGCACCCCCTCTTGTATACTCACTAACCAACTGAATCAGGAAGCTGTCTTCTACACAGTCCAGGAAAAATGGAACCTTGAGGGACCCCACTAGTGACCATCCGCCAGCCAGATTTGGCCCCATTAACCACAACTCTTTGAGCCGTGCCTGTCAGCCAATTGCTCACCCATCGTATGATGTTTTTGTTAAGTTGTATGCTAGACATTTTGTCCAGTAGGATCCTATGGGAAACCATGCCAAAAACATTGCTGAAGTCCAAAAAGATCACATCAGCTGGTTTCCGTTGGTCAACTAGATGATCTTATAAAAGGAAAGCAAATTTGTTAGGCAGGACCTAGCCCTCATGAACCCATGTTGGCTGGGACCAATGACTGCATTGTCGCCCGGGTGCGCCTCAATAACTTCAAGAATCATCTTCTCCATAATTTTACCAGGCAGTGACATGAGACTGACAGGCCTGTAATTGCTACGGTCTTCTTTCTTACACTTCTTAAAATTTGGCACAACATTCGCCAGCTTCCAGTCTACTGGGACCTCTCCAGATTCCCAAGACAGTTGAAAAATAATTGAGAGAGGTCCCACAATGACATCAGCCAGCTCTTTAAGCACCCTGGGATGGATCCCATCTGGATCCATGAGCTTGTATGGATCCAGGTGGAGCAGCAAATCCCACACACATTCAGGGTTGGTTGCGAGTTTGTCATTCCCACCATCATGGTCTTCCTGCTCAGGGCACCCAGGGTCCCAAAGCCCATCAGCAGCATTGAAGACAGAGGTGAAGAAGGCATTAAACTTCTCTGCTTTGCCTATGTCATTGTCTGTGAGGAGATCTTCCCCGTCAAGTAGCAGAACTAAGTTTTCTTTGTTTCTCCTTTTTCTGTTAACATTTAAAAAAAAAAAAAAAAAAAACTTTTTTATTGTCTCTCACAGACTTGGCCAGCTTCAACTCTTGTTGGGCTTTGGCCCCACAAATTTTCTCCCTACAAACACGAACAGCATATTCCTTCCTCATCGCCTGACCCTCTTTCCAGCAGCTGTACACTTTCTTTTTCTGTCTAAGCTCCAGTAGATGCCTTGTCAGCCAGGCCGGCCTTCTGCCCCACCTGCCTGCCTTCCAATATTTTGGAATCACCTGATCTTGTACTTTTAGGAGGCAGTGCTTTATGATTGACCAGCACTGATGGACGCCAATGACTTCAAAAGCAGCTTCCCAGGGGACCTTGCTGACTAGTTCCCTGAACAGCCTAGTCTGCTTTCCCCATATCCAGGGCTGAAGTTTTGGTGGCAGTTTTCCTTCTGTCACCATAAATTCTAAACTCAACCACTTCATGGTCACTATGACCAAGATGGCCGCCAGTTGCCACGTCTCCCACAAGACCCTCTCTGTTTTCCAGCAACAGATCAAGGAGGGCACCTTTCCTAGTTGGCCTTAGCACCTGCACCAAGAAGTTATCATCTAGGTGCTTTATGAACCTCCTGGACTTGCTCGTATTGGCCATGTGGTGATCTCAGTTGATGTCTGGCAAGTTGAAATTTCCCATAAGGACAAGGGGAGTTGATCTCGAGGCATCTCTTAGTTCTGCAAATAATTCATCAGTGTTGTCGTCCTGGCCGAGAGGTCTGTAATAGATTCCCACAACAAAATCCCCTTTATTTGTTCATCCCTTAATCCTTACCCAGAGGCTCTCAACTTTGCCATCCCCAACTTGAAGTTCCATGCAGTCTAGCCCATGCTTCACATACATCGCCACCTGGCCACCTCACCTACCCTGCCTGTCCCTCCTGAAGAGCCCGTAACCATCTATTGCAGCACACCAGCCACAGGACTCATCCCACCAGGTTTCGCTTATGCCGATGATGTCGTAGCTGTGGGACTGGGCCAAGACTTCTAGCTCCTCCATTTTATTCCTCATATGTGGGTGCGAGACCCACCGAGTTCGGCGTGAGGAAGCAAGGGATCAACTTAATATGAGTGGTAATACAAGCTTCAACTTTATTGTGCAGATATCCGTATATTTATACACACAGTGATAATTATGCCTAGTGGTCACTATCCTATTGGCTAATCCTAGAAGTGTTGCAAAAAATACTACTTGCTGTTACAGTGCATAAGCTACTTCCTTATCTTCCCGGGCCTCAGATCCACCTGTTTATCTCTCTCAAGGACAGACTGCTCCTTGCATATTTCACAAGAATGCTTCTCATCCGGCCTACTCCATGGCTATAAACTCTATTTTCTTTGCCTTGCTTGTACAATTCCTCTAGGGACCCATTCCCTTGCTCTTTGAGCCATTCTTCAACACTCATACTGCCTGCATTTGTGTAGAAGCACTTCAAATGCGCTTCCCTATACACAGAACCTTGTGGAGCCGATTGAAGGACCTCTCTGGTACACAGTCCCTCTGATTCTAGCACACCATCCCTTAGCTCATCACCGGCATGCCTGTTTTTATCTCCTTCCCCCTTCAACTCTAGTTTAAAGCCCTATCTATCAGCCCTGCCAACTCCTGCCTAAGGATTGAGCCAAAATCCTTACCCCTCTCTGAGAGGTGCATCCCGTCTGGTGACAGCAGGCCTGGCGTCACATAGACCTTCCCATGATTGAAAAACTCAAAGTTCTGTCGGTTGCACCAGTCCTGAAGCCACGTGTTAATGTGGTGAGCCTGCTTGTCAGCATCGATCCCCCCTGTTGGAAGGACAGAGGAAAACAACCTGTGCCCCTGATCCTTTAAGTAGTCACCCCAAAGCCCTAAAGTCCCTTTTGATCGCTCTCAGACATCTCATTGCCACCTCGTCATTACCAGCCTGAAAGACCAGTAGCAGGTAGTAGTCGGTGGGCCGTACCAGGCGCTTGACTTTCTTAGCTAAGTCTCTCACCCGAGCCCCGGGGAGACAACAGACTTCACTGTCGGTTGGGTCCGGTTGGCATATCAGGCCCTCTGTCCCTTTCAAAAGGGAGTCCTCCATGACAATAACCCTTCTGTATTTCTTGACAGATGATGTAGCAATGTGGGGGGTAGGTTGCCTTGCCTTAGGCACCCTCTCCAACTGGGACGGGCTTTTGTCTACTTCATTGTTCTGACTATGGCTGACTAGAGCCTTGTACCTGTTACATAAGGGTAGATGGGAAGGTGAGGTGGGCAGGGACAGGGCTCTCCTACCACCCTGAACAGGAACCTGCCTCCATTCCCTTCCCCCTGTGGCCTAGGTCCATTTTTACTGCCTGGTGGGATGAGGGGACTTTTGTCTTCTGCACAGCAGGAGGCACCTGTGCTGCAGCAGGCTCATGTGAGATGGGGAAGATGTTAAAAAAAAACTATCTGAATTAGTATCTAGCTACATTACATATACGGTAAAATATCTTAAGTATTGGGGATGTGGATGAGAACCTAAAAATATCCTAATTATAGGGATGTAGATGAGAAGCAGATGTAAAAAGAAGATATCGTTCAAGGCTAATGGATGAGGGAAGAATGAACATCTTCTTAAGAAAGAATGAACAACTTGTTGGCAGGAAACAAGGCAAAGATAAGAAAAAAAGCCTAAACTGTCCAACACAAGGTCAAAGTCCACAAAGGTAAAGAAAGTTTAACCTCCTCTTCCTCGTTGCCTTCATCCTGAAAGACCCCTGCCCATGACCACCAGGCTACATTGCGCAGGTGCAACCGGAAGGAGCTAAGGGCGGGGAGTATGGAAATGAGTACTTGGAAGAGGTCTGCCTTTTCGGGGAAATTAATATGTATTAGAGCTCATGTAATATGTAACAGTATTTGTGTATAAAATTGCGAGAGATGACCGGGCAGGTGCACACTTTTTGAGGGAAGCTATTCCTGGTGCACCCGGTGCACTGCAATAAAGTATACCCACTTTACAACCCTATGGTTGAGGAGTCTTTTCCGTGCATCACGAGTCTGTCTCAGAGAGGGTAGCATACACCTTCACCAGTCAATTTCCCTCTCTGACTCCCTGATGCTCAGGAACCTGCTCACCTCCTCCCAAAGCTCCGCTACCTGTTTGAGCAGCTCTTCAACCTGGGCACACCTCCCACAGGCATACCCCTCGCTGCTGCTGTCGGATACGGACAGAAGACTTGGGCACACCCTGGAGCCCAAGACCTGGACGGCAGTGTGTTTCCCTGAGCCCTCCATCTGAGTAGCCACATCAGTGACTGCGGCTGGAGAGGCTGCAAGAGATGCGGAGGCCATGGTTTTCTGCTGGGTTTCTCACAAGCAGGCTACCAGTATCAGTACTGAAGGGAAAGACTGCTGCAAGAGAGCGGCAAAGGGCCCTACCTGCTCACCCTACCTGCGCAAACTGCCACACTAACTGCCGCGCCACTCCCTTCTGATGCACCTCGCCCTGTTTGCCCGCCCTGTTTGCCATGCTCCTGGTTGCTCATGCTCCCTAGGGGCTGCTTTTGACGGCCGGGGAGGGGACGCTGCTGGCTCCGCCTAGGCCTCGCCAGCCTCCCTTGCAAGGGCTGCCAGGTCCTGGCAGCCCCCTCGGATGCTTCGAGTGGCCTCAATGACAAAAAAAAAAAAAAGCCCTGCCTGTCTCAATCCCCCGCTCCACTGCAGAACACGTCTGCCCCGGAGCCGATCGCCTCGGCACTGCATTCCCTGACAAAGAGTCCCTCCCCAGCTTTCTTGTAGGCCCTGTTTAGGCACTGGAAGGCTGCTATAAGGTCTCCCTAAGGTCTTCTTTTCTCCAGGTTGAACAACCCCAACTCCCTCAGCCTGTCTTCGTAGGAATCATGAAATGGCTTGGGTTGGAAGGGATATCAAAGATCATCTAGTTCCAAGCCCCCTGCCATAGGCAGGGATGCCACCCACTACATCAGGTTGCTCAGGGCATCATCTGACCTGGTTTTGAACACCTCCAGAGATAGGGCATCCACAACTTCTCTTGGTAACCTGTTCCAGTGCCTCACCACCCTCTGAGTGAAAAATTTCTTTCTAACCTCTAATCTAAATCTCCCCTATTTTAGTTTAAAACCATTCCACCTTGTTCTGCCATTATCTGATTGAGTAACAAGTTGCTCTCCATCTTTTTTTAAATACCTTAAGTACTGAAAGGCCACAAATGAGGTCCCTCCAGAGCCTTCTCTTCTGTAGACTGAACAGCCCCAGCTTTCTCAGTCTGTCTTTGTAGGAGAGACGCTCCAGCCCCTTGATCATCTTTGTGGCCCCAGACCTGGATGCAGTACTCTAAGTGTGGCCTCGCAAGGGCAGAGTGGGACAATCACCTCCCTTGACCTTCTGGCCACTCGTCTTTTGAGGCAGCCCAGTATGCAGTTGGCCTTCTGGGCTGCAAGCGTGTGCTGATGGCTCAAGTCAAGCTTTCAGTCCTCCAGGACCACCATGTCCTTCTCTGCAGGGCTGCTCTCATTGAGTTCTTCAGCCAGTATATACTCATGTATGGGATTGCCCCGACCCAGGTGCAGCATCCTGCACTTGCACTTGTTGAACCTCATGAGGTTCACAAGGGCCCACTTCTTTAGCTTGCCCAGATCACTTTGGATGGCATCCCTTCCTTCTATTGTACCAATGATACAATAGGTATCAATGATACCTGTGTATCAACAAAAGGAGATACACATGCTCCAGCCCCTTGATCTTCTTCATGGCCCTTCTCTGTACTTGTTATAATACTTCCATGTCCTTCCTGTTCTGGGGGCCCCAGAGCTGAACACAGTGCTCCAAGAGTCTCACGAGACTAGAGTAGGGGGGGAGAATCCCCTCCCTCACCCTGCTGACCATGCTTCTTTTGATATGGTTGGCTTTCCGGGCTGCAAGTGCACATTGCTGGCTCATGTTGAGCTTCTCATCCACCAGCACTCCCCAGGTCCTTCTCCTCGGTGGTGCTCTTAATCCAGTCAAGCCTGTATTTTGTTTGGGATTGCCCTGGCCCACGTGCAGGACCTTGCACTTGGTCCTGTTGAAATTCATGAGGTTCGCACAGACTCATGTCTCAAGCCTGTCCAGGTCCCTCTGGATGACATCCATTCCCTCCAGAATGTCGACCACACCACACAGCTTGGTGTCATCAGTAAACTTGCAGAGGGTGCCCTCGATTTCACTGTCCATGTCGCCAACAAAGATGTTAAACAGCACCAATCCTAGTACTGATCCCTAAGGAACATGACTCATAACCTTGTTCCACTTGGATATTGAACCATTGACCCCAACTCTTGAAGTGCAACCATCTAGCTAATACCTTACCCATCAAGTGGTCCATCCATCAAATCCACGTTTCTTCAACTTGGAGACAAAGGTATCAAGTGGGACAGCATGAAATACTTTGCACAAGTCCAAACAGACAACACCAGTAGCTCTTCCCTTATCCACCAACTCTGTAACCCCATCATAGAAGGCCAACAGATGTGTCAGGCATGATTTGCCCTTAGTGAAGCCATGTTGGCTGCCAGCAATCACCTGATTTTCCATGTTCCTTATCATAGTTTCCAGAAGGATCTTCTCCATGACCTTGCCTGGCATAGAAGTGAGACTGACTGGCCTGTGGTTCCCCAGGTCTTCCTTTTTTCATTTTTAAAAATGGGGGTTATGTTTCCTCTTTTTCAATCGGTGTGATCTTCACCAGACTGCCACAAGTTCTCAAATATGATGGGTAATGACTTAGCAACTACATTTGCAAGTTCCTTCAGGACCTGTGGACATGTCTTATCAGATTCCATGGACTTGTGCACCCTTAGATTCCTTAGCTGGTCTTGAACCTGATCTACTCCTACGGTGGGCTTCATTCTCCCAGTCCCTGCCTTTGCCTTCTGGGGCCTGGTCTGTGTAGCTAGAATAAAAAATGTTTACCTCAGCCTTCTCCATATCCCTGGTGACCTCTGTTTCCTTCCAGAGAGGGCCCACAGTTTCTCTAGTCTTCCTTTTATCCTTGATGTACCTATAGAAGGCATTCTTGTTGCCCTTGATGTCCCTGGCCAAATCTAATTCTAAAAGGGATTTGGCTTTCCTAACCTGATCCCTGGCTGATCAGACAATTTCTCTGTATTCCTACCAAACTACCTGTCCTTGCTTCTTTTCTCTGTATGCCTCCTTTTTCTGTTTGAATCTGGCCAGGACCACCATGTTAAGCCATGCAGACTTCCTGGTGTCTTTGTCTTTTTAAAGGTCTGACTTTTTAAGGGTCTTTAGAGTTTCATCTTTCTCTGGAAGCCTAGAGGTGGGAGAGTAAGCTAACACCCAGGAGTACTGATTTCAGTTACAGCACAGCTTTTCACAGAATCACCTAGGTTGGAGGAGACCTCCAAGATCACCAAGTCCAACCTCTGACCTAACACTAATAAGTCCTCCACTAAACCATATCACTAAGCTCTACCTCTAAAAGTCTTTTAAAGACTGAGGAAGTGGCCATGAGATAAATATGGTTGGGAATCTCTTCAGTAATGTATCAGAAATTCTAAAGACCACAGAAATAGAAATATGGAATAAAAAAAAAATAAAATCCAATAAAGCACTGGCATAATGTGTCTATTATTGTGTCTGTCAATTGTTGTGGATAGGAAATAACGAGCTTCGCATTGACCTAACTAACCTGATTTCCTTTTATGATAAGATCACCCGTATGGTAGACCAAGGGAAACCAGCTGATGTGATTTTTTTGGACTTCAGCAAGGCTTTTGACACGGTTTCCCATAGGATCCTACTGGACAAAATGTCCAGCATACAGCTAAATAAAAACATCATACGATGGGTGAGCAATTGGCTAACGGGCAGGGCCCAAAGGGTTATGGTGAATGGGGCTGCGTCAGGCTGGCGGGCGGTCACCAGTGGGGTCCCTCAAGGCTCCATTTTAGGGCCGGTACTTTTCAATATTTTTATAAACGATCTGGATGTAGGAATAGAAGGCATTTTGAGCAAGTTTGCTGATGACACCAAACTTGGAGGAGTTGTGGACTCAAATGAGGGTGGAAAGGCCTTGCAGAGGGATCTGGATAG